AAGTACAAAAGTAAAGATCTATAAATAATATATACACAGGGTTTAAACTTGTGAGAAGATTATAAAAAAATACTCATTTGCTGCTCTAACTAGACCACAAAAGCAAAATACGTCTTCCAAACTATCTTTTTTTTTGGTCTGCAAAAATCTTCCTTCATATTTAGAAACATATATTTCCCTGTGAATAGCACATGTGTAAATGATATTTTACTGTTAGTTCGAGAGTCCATGTTGGAATCTGGAAAAAAGTCTCATTTTATGCCATTCTTTGGACATAACTGGCTTAAAATAATGTTTGTTACTGTTTAAGTCCTGAAAGGTACCATTATGAGATCTCTCTCTCAAAATTGTAATGTATAACTTAAAATGATATATGTTCTTTTGTTGCTAAATATCCATTTATTATTATACAAGTACGAGTTACAACATTATTATATGATGGCAGCAATGGTACTGCCATCTCTGATGAACAAATGAGTGAGATTCAACCCCACCAGGACATCCACCAAGCGATAAACACCTGGTGATGCAAAGTGCCACCATGCAGATTATGATCACCCAGGAAGAGATCCCAGAAACCCAGTTTAACAGTTAGGTTATATTAGGGCCCTCGACTACAGCTGATATGTTAAAAACTGTTCAAATGACCTTTAATGCTTCATATTTTTGGGGAACTCTAATTTCCATTTAACAATCTGCACTGTAAGAAAAAAAAATTATGACTTGTACAGGCCATAATCTCTGGGCACGATCTGGGTAGCCATTCTAAGGTTTAAAAAAAAAAGTCACTACTTGCAATAGGGGGATACAATCTACTGTAAGTTAATATTACTTAAGTTCCCATCCAAGGTGATGTAATCCGGTGTTTGTGTAAGTTCACATAATCATATTTTTATTTCATATTTAATACTGTCTGAAAGGGTTAGGGCTAACTCTGACTCAAACCCTGACCCTAACTAAAGCAATATTAAATATTAGGCAACAGTATTATGTTAACGTGCCCAAATCAATGGATTATCTCCCTTATGGTTATCGTAAACAACAATTGATTGCATCCCCCTAGGGTCGCCGTTGCAACGTGTGCCAAAAATTTGTTTAAAACAGTAGACCCACTGCCTCCCTAACAAGAATATCGTAAAAATCACGAAGAAGAAGAGTATAGGCCATACAAACTATGCAAGTGTTAATAGATGTTCTACATAAAGTTAAAATGGTCTACTGTGTTACCCTAACTTTCAAAATAGTTAGTTAAAAAAAATACAGAAACACTAATAAAAATACTGATATCAATTTCAAGATGCTCACTGTACAAGAACTCTCCTGTGTTAAAAACTATTGTCCGTTCAACAATTCATAAACTTACATGCAAGCCATTTTCTCAAAAACTGCCTGGTAGACGGCAATGAATTTTTGCATGCAGCCTTAGAATATCCATGACGTTGGGGAAATATTTTTTTCACTAAAGAAGAATATCATATGTATTTTCTTTTCTTGTTTACAATACATATTTTGATCATGAAACCGTCTTGGTAGACTTTTGGAAGGTTTACTTTCATTAGTTTCAGAAAGTAATGCACACAATGATTGGTTTAACAGGGAGGCCAAAGAAAACCTACCTAATTTCATGATTTTCTTTCTCGTGCAAAGAGTTAAAAAAGTAAAGATAAAAATAGCATACACAAGTATTTCAAAAACAAAAGCATTGTACAAAGAAAAAAGAGTTTTATTCGGGAAGGGGGGACTGGGAGAATTGTAGTCTAGTGGCTACCTAAATGTACTGGGTTCTAAGCCACAACTAGTAAGATTTATGTTTTTCAAAAATGACTCCCAGTTTGACACAGCCTAAAATGGATATCGGGAGCCGTCGTGGTGTAGTGGCTAGATGCTCACCTTCAGATCCGAAGGTCAAGGGTTCAGGTCCTCACAGAGCTGGAATTTTTTGGGTCTCCAAAATGACCTCAGCTCCCAGGTAAAGTCCTGGGAAGTAAAGGTGATCATTGTGATGTTGACCACATCGCCCACTGAGTGTTGAGTGGGCTACAAGATACAGGTCTAGTCCTACATGCCCAATATGTCTAAAGGTGTGGAAATGGGTCCTTTCCTTTACTTTTAAAATGAGTATCAGGTAATGTCCTAGAAAGTAAAGGTGGTCTCAGCGTGATGGTGATCACATCATCCCCGCCAGTGCCAATTGGTCCATACAATTATTAGTCTAGCATCATATGCTCAATGTGCCACTGGTGGAAAAAACAAACAAGGTCCTTCACTTGACTTTATGCTTGGATTTTTAAGTGTTAGGAAACATTGGCTGACTGCTCAGTTAATTCCAACGCAAAGCACAGGCTATGTATTTTTTCAATTTTACAATCAACAGGCAAATATTTCTGCCCATATCAGAGATTACAACCTTCTTGTCATCATCACAGGACTAGTAACTGGACTGACACTTTTGAAAAAAGTCAGGACGCAAACCTCCGACCTTCCGATCTGCAGGTGTCTAGCCGCCAACAACACGGCGACTCCTTCTTGTATGGGTTAGTACATTAAATATCAGTTGACATCAGTGGCTTAGGGGCTTCCTAATGTCAAGGTGCTAATTCCATTCTAGCTGTGGACAGCAGACTGCTTTGCGTTTATTATGACAGAGGTATTAAGAGATGACTGTTCAGGAAGCAATGCAAACTATGAGTGGAAAATTGTCTAGTAAAAACACAAGTAGCCAAGAAATGCTGCGGTTTGCTTTGCAATGTTCTGTAAAAGTTATGCAAGTAACTTTTCTTTAAACATTAAACACAAATAACTACACAATTATTTTAGTTTCCAGTGCAAGGGCTTTCAATCTTGCTCAATTCAAAGGTAACAAAACCAAACATGGTGATATAAGGATCAAGGCACTCCATCAGTACCGTTAAGCAGGGTCTTTATTTGAAAGCCAAGTAGCGAGATATCGTTTACAAGGTACAAATAATTAAAATCCTTATTGAATTAATTTGATAAAAGCAATACTAATAATGGATTCTGACAGATTTACTACTTATGACCATTACTTGTTATCATTCCAGTGATAACATAATGACTGAAAAAATGCAAAAAAAAAAAAAAAATCAACATAAAGAGTATCTTTCTTCTCTCTCCCAAGCATTCCTTCTCTTCTTGGAAATCACTCTATTATTAAAATGAGTAGTATTTTTTGCAATTACCCTGTTCGTGATTATTTATTCAGCTGACCCCGATAAACTCCGGCTGAAGAGGTCATAAGACCAGGACATGATCATTACTAATAATATAATTTTCTGTAAAACAAACCTCCCATCATGGTCCATCAGAAAACCCCTTGCTGCAATTCCCCTGCTTTATGTATTTTCATGCACAAGGCATCTACAATATCCTGGGTCGACATTTGTGCATGTTGAGGCCTGCCTTATCTTCCAGGACTACTTAGTCAAATTCACCTTTTTGAAAATAAATGTAATCCTTTTGCAAATCAACTTCACCCATTTGGAAATCAGAATTTCACTCTTTTGCAAATTAAATTCAACCTTCTGTAAATCAATTTCACCCTTTTGCAAATCAAATCTTTGCAAATCAAATTCAACGTTCTTCAAACCAAATTCAATCTTTTTGCATTTCAAATTCAAGATTTTGCAGATCCAATTTATCACACACAAGAAATATTTTAAGGCTTTTTAACAAATACGAGAAATAATGACAAATTTTGCTATACTGTGAACTTATGCAATTTAAAAATATTAAAAAAAAAAATTTATCACTAGAAAATAAATTATTTACTTACGGATAGGTTCATTTATAACAAGCGCTTCTGCAGCTGCTCAGGATAATTTCATATACACATTCAGAAAATAATTAGGACAATCTGTAACATCCACTAAATGTTATTGGTTTCAGGGGTCAGCCAAAATAATTTTGCACAAATTTTTACTGTCTCTGAAAGCTGAATGTTTGCAAAAGTGAAAATTGGCTCATTCAGTATTGCATGCCTGGCTGCACAAGTAACTTTTGAACATTACCACAATAACCTGGCTCTACTGTAACTTTTCTGATCAAATTAATTTGCCACAGGTTGAGTTTATTTTGCAAATGGGTGAATTTAATTTGCAAAAGGGTGAAACTGATTTTGCCAAAGGATGAATTTGGTTTGCCTATCCTGTATATTGTGTTCTGTCTCAAAGACTAACTATAGTGTATGATTGACTGCAGTGTACCCATCGATCTCGTTATTAATGTCATTACTTGGTGAACCCTAATCTCTTCCAAAGTGTGACTTCCATTCCACTGTCTAAAAACCAGGAGAAAAGTTAAACAAAATTAACTGTCCACCATGAAAATCGAAGCCTAGTGCATGAGGATTGTGAAATTGTTAAATGCATTTACTAACATCTCAGCTACAGATCCGGAATGTGTTGTCACGAAGCACAATGGTTCAAAAACAAACAAACAAACACTGCTGTGGTATTTTATCAATGACACAGAGAAGCAAATGTGAAGAGGAAAAAACTCCATAAATGCCTGCCTACATAAGAATGTAGAAGTACTTGTATATGTATATATTTCTCATACAGAAAACTGTTCATTATAGGATGTACAAATGACTAGAAAACAAATCAAACCAGGGATAAGAACAAGTTACCGTATTTTTCCATGTATAAGAAGCCCCCATGTATAATACGATACTTATTTATTTTTTAGCTCAAAATTAGGAAAAACATTTTAAACATATTCAGTGTAAACGATTCCCCCCCCCCCCCCCCCCCCCCCCCCAAGAAATATATTGTCTTATACACAGAAAAAAATGGTAATTATAGAAGATCCTCATGGTGAGCTCACCTTTGATACCTGCTCTTAATACTGTTAAATGCTGTGATAATTATGATGAGATTAGAACAACATTATTTTGTGGTTCTGGTCCCAGATTCGCAGCTGTGAAGAAACTTTCAGCTGATGAGATTAAAACACATATAATGCACATCAAGCAGACAGATTCAGGCATGTAGAACGGTTTTAGTCGTCACAATGCTGCTACCACCGGTTAAACAAGTCACCATGGTGCCGTACTTCACTGCCTTGTTTTTGTGACCAGTATCCTCTACAGTGACCTCTCCTGGTGGCACCTTGTTTTTGCCAACTCCTTCCAAACTGAAAACATCGATATAGTAGGTGGCACCATTAAAAATAGCCAGGATGATGAAGATGACCAGGATAACACAGTGGGCGATGAAGAAGTTGTACCAAACTGGGGTCAGCAGAAGCATGGACAAGCTAAATGTGAGGTTCCAGATCATGTAGAGGTGAACACGGAACCTAGCAGGAAATACAGAAAAGACATATTCAACAACAAACAGATATTGATGACATTCAACAAACAGATATTGAAGACATTCAACAAACAGATATTGAAGACATTCAACAAACAGATATTGAAGACATTCAACAAACAGATATTGAAGACATTCAACAAACAGATATTTAAGACAAATTCAACAACAAACAGATATTGAAGACATTCAACAAACAGATATTGAAGACAAATTCAACTAAATGATATTTAAGTCACATTCTACAAACAGGTATTTAAGACATATTCAACAACAAACAGACACTGAAGACATTCAACAAACAGATATTGAAGACAAATTCAACTAACAGATATTTAAAACATATTCAACAAACAGATATTTAAGTCACATTCAACAAACAATATTTAAGACATATTCAACTAACAGATATTTAAGACATTCAACAAACAGATATTTAAGTCACATTCAACAAACAATATTTAAGACATATTCAACAAACATATATTTAAGTCACATTCAACAAACAATATTTAAGTCACATTCAACAAACATATATTTAAGTCACATTCTACAAACAATATTTAAGACATATTCAACAAACAGATATTTAAGTCACATTCAACAAACAATATTTAAGTCACATTCAACAAACAGATATTTAAGTCACATTCTACAAACAATATTTAAGACAAATTCAGCTAACTGATATTTAACTCACATTCAACAAACAATATTTAAGTCACATTCAACAAACAATATTTAAGACAAATTCAACTAACAGATATTTAAGACATATTCAACAAACAGATATTTAAGTCACATTCAACAAATATATATATACATTGATGTCCTTCCAACAAATACATTTACAAGTCACATTCAACAAATAAATATTTAAGTCAAATTCTTCTTTACATTCACAGAATGTGACTTTGGCGGAAAGTTCTGGTTGTTCATCCACTTCTGGACTTTAATTTTGTTTCAGAACCCGAGTTTTGCGTGCACATCCATTTCACAGATCTGGCTTAATTGTATGCAGACTGCTGATTCCTCACCTACGTCAGCCCAGTACCAAAATAAACATTCCTACGTCAGCCCAGTACCAAAAGAAACATTCCTTCGTCAGCCCAGTACCAAAAGAAACATTCCTTCGTCAGCCCAGTACCAAAGAACGAACATCAGAAAATTGTCTAAATGTTAAGGGAAATGTCTAGGAAGAAGAGGTTATGAGGACAGGAACTGGCTGCCTCACCTAATTAAAAGCATGACCTAGAGTATGTGAAAACCCAAAACTTTATTCCTCAATGGCAATCCTACCACTGGACTATCCTTTATCTTTGTGCATCATCTTCTTCACATTCACCTGATGTAAACTAGCAGAAAGTTCTTGTTATTCGTCCACTTCTAAACGAGTCTTTTTTCAGATCTTTGATTTTGTGGGCACATCCATCTTAAAGATCTGGTATATTTCTAAGCAGACTTTTGGTTCCTCGGATTTCAGGTAGATGCACTCCAACTTCAAGTGAAACACCCATAATTAGTCTACTCTGCGCCCTTCAGTTCACGAGTGCAATTTTTACGGAGATGCCTGGGGATTGCCGCCTGAGCTCCAGAGTTCCTGCTCTGCGTGACGCTCTCGGCAGGCGGCTAGCTGTTCTGAGGATAGAGACCCAGCCATTTGGATAAAACCTGGTGCTAAGAAGTCTTCCTCTCAACTTTAACTCTTATAATATGCTTCTCAGTAGGGCAGTGAGTCTATTCTTTATCGCAATGGAACCTCAAATCCCACACAAGGAGTGTGTCTCACAATTGGATGTTGCTACAAACAAAAAAAAAAACCCCATTCAACTGTAATTTGAGAAACAGAAACAGTTCAAACCTCACCTTGGACCCAGAAGGTTGCACAACCGGAACATGAGTGAGGTTTCCTTTCTTGTGACGTATCTATACAGATTCAAGTACTCCTCGGATGGCTTGAGTATGAGATTCACAAGAATAAGATACCCAACCTGATGAATGACATAGGAAACATTATTTCAAATAGGGAATAATAAATTCAACTGACAACTAATATGAATACATATGTTCTTATTTAGTTTTCTTCATTTAATTCTTCGTCTGCAAATGTTGAAATTAATGGTTAAAAAAGAAATAACTAAAACATAAAACAGATAAAAAATGTAATCACTATCAAGTGCCTTGATGAAAGGACCAGGCAATCTTCACATCATATGATCTCCTATAGCATCTGTCAGTTTTTGTGTTGACACCCTCCAATACCACAATAAAATACTATTAAGAATCTTATCTCACTCTCTTCCTCTCTCTCTCTTTCCATAAATAACTTTACAAATGTCACAGCTTGTTCCAGTTTTTCTCTTCTTATAATGTGACTATAATGCCATTTAAAATATAGAAAGCCCTTGATTTCATGAGCCCAGATATAACACAGTGCAGAAGTAGCAGACCAACAGTCGAAACACTATATTAAATAGTTTTCCAAACAATGCTGAATAATTTGAGAAATGTGACTACGGTCTTATAATTTGTTAAAGCCTACTTTCCTGCTGGCCCAGCAGTCACGATGTTCGGATCTTACAAAGGCATGCATTTTTTTAAAATTACCTAGGCTTACAGGCTGACTCAGGTGAAAATGTCCTGGGGATGTAAAGGTGGAAAGCATGAATGTGCCAAGTGCTGAAGGGTCTATAAACATAAAAGTTTAGCACCACATGCCTAATACTGCTGAAGACGTGGAAAATAGGTCTCTTTTACCTTTCTTTACACTGCTAATATGGCCAACTGTTGTGAGAACCCTGTTGGGTTAAGCTGGTTACTCTTGTATGATTTGAAGAATTTATTTATGACTTAGTTCCACCCTGTTGGTCCCTAGCCGCTTGGGCTGATTCATTCACTCCAACTTTGAAGGAAACACCCTTAAGGAGTCGCTTTTTATGAGCCCGGAACCCACCTGGGGAGACAGTTTGTCCTTGAAATCCTATTCCACTGCTGAGCTAGTGGGCCCCTGCCTCTTCTTTAAGGAGCCTTACCCTCCCTTACCGTTCTCTCCAAACCATTATGACGTTTAATATGATAGAGATATATCAGTTCCCGATAAACTATATCATCTATAAGCCACTTCCCTCTATCTTCAAATCGTGAAGAATCTCTGTATAGATACTCTTCCTGGTCCATGATACTCTAAGTATCTTCCTGCAACATTTAAGTTCAAAAGCTCCATAGCAATTCCTTGTATCACTGAGTTCTAAAAGAATTATAAACAAATCAAGAAAATATTTCTGAAAGTAAACAAGAGTATAATGTTAACATATCTGAAGCCATACCCCGAAGTAAATTTAACTACCTGTTAAGTACACTAAATTTACATTTACCTGATGTAAAACTACAAAGACGAAAGGGATTGAAACCAGCCAAACAAAGGAAAAGCCAAACTGGCTTTCTGGGAAAGGCTTGTACCATCTTTGTGATGTTTCTTTCGGGTACCATCGAATTCTGGTAATGTAAATCATACAAATTGTATCAATGTATATGAAAAGAATTTCTGTTACCTTGAAAATGAATACATGATATATGACAGTAAACTGTGCTATTAGCAGAACGTGTAATGGTAGTATTAATTTATATTTGTCTAATAATTTTGACTGTTTAATATTTTACAGATGATGTGTTACTTATAACAGATATAATATTATAGATTGTAAGTGTTGAGCGTAATATATTTTAAGTGTACTTTTCAAATAATTATGATAATGAGATTATGTAATCTTCTTTGAGAGTATCAAAAGTGATCTAGATTATTTTTCATTTGCTTCACAAAATTACCCCTTATTTACACTATTTTGTTTGTTGTTGATGATCTCAAACTTGTTTATTCAGCAAGTCACTGTTACAAGAAGGTGACAGTTTTAAATCTTTGTGTACCCAAAGCTTTCAACTTTGATGATGCATCTTGTGCAACACGGGCAGCAATGGTGATCACTTATTCATGAGATACAGTGTCTTATGTGTCAACAGTGACATGAAGAGAATAAAAGTATGCCTGATGCTCCATTTGGTAAAAAGTGTTCATTCCTTTTTATTTTGGCTATCATTGGATGGTTGAAATAGGTAAAATGCCAATGCATTTTTTCTGTGCATTGTGAGCTTTCAGTTTTTGTAATTCTAACAATTATATCTTTATTTAAATAAAGAAACACTTACACAAATGACATTAGGCTTGGCAAAAGGTGTATATAAAGAGAGGTTACTTTGTCCAAGCTGTGAAAAACTAGTGAGTTTCTAAACACAAGCAAAGCCCAAATGAGCGGCCCATTAGCAACTGCAAATCCAACGGCGAACACGTCTTCACGTTCTGGGGCAACCCTGAAATAACATGTCAGACTTTAGACATCTAATATTTGCGACAGTAAATTAAATTGTGTACTGTCTCCACAATTAGGTAATTGAGGTTCCAAAATCAAAGAAAACGGGTCACCCCAAAGTTGTTCCATTCCTATGTCAACAAAAACCATTCAGAATGTCTTCTTCTTCTTCATCATTCACTGGCTGCGAATTCCGGCGGAAGGTCCTGGTTGATCGCTTGCTTGGACTTTTAGCTTTTACCTGGACCTGAGTTTTGCCTTTCCCTGCCTCATGGGGAGATGTACTCTGACTTTGAGCGAAGATGTCAGGCCTATCTCTAGGATGACTGTGGCCATTGTTCTGTGTGGGTCGAGATGTTGCCTTATTTGTGTGGTGTTCTCTTAGTCCCTTTATCTACAGATGTTGCCCCGGGACTACCCCGTTTGGGGCAGCCCTATGTAGAATGGTTAACACTCAAGGGAAGGCAGGGACAGATCATGGGCATTGCAAGCCATCCAAGGAGGCTTCCATAAATGCAAAGCCGACACATGATGGTTCTGGGCTCACCCAAGGAATCGTCACGTCCTGCACATGACTGCTTAACCTCATAACCGTCGTATTAGGCCTCCCACTCGACACAGGCTGCGCCCTCCAGAGATCAGCGGGGAGCAGCCCCCAGGTTAAGGAATTTTTTGACCACACGAAAAGGTACATTCTTTTCCGTCGCACATAAGATGTCTTTAAATTGATGTTAGCATGACAGAATGGAGAATCAGCGAGTGGGGCCTCGCGATGCTGACATTTGGACTTTTTCCCAATCAGTATGATTTATGATGGTTGGATTTTGAGCTTCCTAGTATGCTGTAGGATCTTTCTTTGTCGGACATTAGCGTTTAACCAGCCGATGGATAGTTTCTATCTTGGTGTGTACCTCAGCATGGTAACGACATCGCTGAGGGTTGACAGAGGATGTACATAGGTAGGATCTTGCTACGAGAAACCACCCACAGGAGATGTTACTCGTCTGAGCTGCGGGTAAATCTCTTGGTCAAGGGTTGAGTCTCAGAAGAACAGTTTTTCCCTTTACTCCACAAACTTTTAACCAAAGGTTGTCATTTAGTTATGCATTTGGCAAGCAGACTTTACTCATCATCTAAATGAGTTTTGATAAACTTTTTCACCCATGGGTTTGGGGGCAGGCTGATGAGAGCCGGAAAGGACACTACACCTCTGGAGGCCGCCAACTCAGAGATCCCCTGACTGCTCTGTTAAAGAACATTTGAGACATTTTCCGTGGTGCAAGATGAGGACGTGCTGCAGGGTCTTGCGTGAGGTCTCTTAAAACCAGAACAGTGAATTACTGGCGTCTGAGTGATGTACAGAATATCTCCTTATACACATCACGTTGGACTTCACGCCTGTGATAGAAATCACAGCACCACATTCAGAATGTTAATCGCTGCCCTGATGAAAAAAGTGACACAGACTACAGTTTCTGCAAAGCCAATAGCATACACACCCATTAAATGCTTTTAAGACAGCCCTCAGAAGTGCAAACACAAACAGTGCAGCAACAGAAAGGCAGTTCATCATTGATGGAAACAGCAGTTTCAACAAATTACTAACTGCATTTGCAATCAACTGCTTAAGGCACTACTTTGGTGGCAACGGGTTATTCTTTATTTTCCTAAACTGTAGTTTGCAATACAAATTTGTTGGGCATGGTCAAAAGCATTTCAAATTAAATCCCCAGCTCACAGTGTTGCGCCATGCACTCAACTCAATAGCTGGGAGTCTGAACTATATACTTTCAGTCCAAATATGAGAGGAAAAATAACTGCTAACCAAAGAGAGAAGCAAATAACTTGCCCTGACTAAAAGTTTGTCTATCTGACATACTGGACCAAGAAGAACTGTCTCCACAAGATAGTAAGATGGCAGTGGATATATGCATCAACTTATGTGTTTAGGAAAACATTTGCAACATACTGCCTACAGAAATTTTTTGTCTAGATCTTAAAATTATGCAGCAAGTTTTCCCCAGAATGCTCTCATTACAGCAGGCCCGAACGAAACTTGGTCCCTCGCCAAAACTCCCACCTCATGCACTTTTCCTACCCAAGGTGTCACTTATATCCTGTGCCCATCTCTGTGCTGGCCAGCTCCTGCCCCTCTTTTCTGGAACCACACCTTCTGCTGCTATTATTTCCAAACTGCCGTGGCACTGGATAGGGTCAAAATATTTTAGTTTCTAAGGCAAGATGCTGTTTACTAGCCAATTAACTTTTATTTTAGATCCTTTAGGATGTCAATATTTTTCTTCTTCTTGGTCCATTAATTGTGAGAATCTTTCTATAGCATCTCAGTTCAAAACCCCTTTTTTCTTCCTTAATGACTGCAAGTTAGTCCACTGTTAGAGCACTTATTTTAGTGTCCATTACAAAATAGATAATATAATGAAATGTATGTGACAGTGAAATGTAACTGCACTCCCAACTTTAATAACAGCAGTGCACAAAATACAACTGTCTTCTCATAACACTCTACAGCTTGCATTCTGACAGAAGTGACTGTCAACTGCTACACAGATGTTCTTTTCAGTTATGATGCCAAACTTACATCCTCTCTTCAAATCCCCCCTTCCTTTCTTTCCCCCTTTTATGATGTGTTCCACTTTTCCCATTCTCTAGAACTCAGAGAGTGTGGATTCTTCTGGCGAGAGTAACCAGCTCTTTTTGTAGGATTATTTATTGCACGACATCTTCTGTATGCTTTTCTATTTACACATGGCACGCTTATTATTTTTCTACCAAACCAAAGCACCGCAGCTTCCACATAATTTCTTACTAAATTTTTTTTTGCTTTCATGATTCATTTCTGTCATACATTGACAATTTCTCAAATCAGAATTAACCTTCTTCAAACCCTTCCCCCCCCCCCCTTTTCTCCCACAGCAAGCATAAGAGGCACCTAATTAGGGTTTTGATAAAATCAGATGTTTTGAGTTAAGAAGTGCAAATATTTGAGCCTAGCTGTAAACCAAAACACAAGGTGACAACCACTCCTTAAAGGATGAATGCAGAAGGAAGAAAAAAAGCAATGAAGTTTTCCAAAAAACATCAATTTCAACAGGCACACACAACAAGCAGAAACCTACCATATGTAGATATACCAATATATATTTGCGAAATAGCAGAAGTCCAACATGAAGTACTGATATTTCATTCTCCTGGCGAGATAATAAAAATGTTATTAAAATTAAAGTAGAGCATATAAAACACAGCAGCAACTGGCCGAACTGTTAAGAAGGCAGGGCTCTCATATGGGAGACCCAGGTGCAACTCCTTGGTAAAACTGGGGATGTTTGTCATGGGGGACAAAAATAACAGCCTAACTTACACAGACTGTTGCAACAGCGCAAGCGGCCTTAAATCCTCACCTTAGATACATTCATACCTTTCCCCTCCAGATCCACACAACAAAAGTGGCAGAAATTGCCTTTAAAAAAAAAATATTTGGGGAGGCTTCAAATGAAAATGTTAAACATGTGACAGAAATTAAAACAACCATGCCACTGTCCTGTTACCTGTCAGTATTTTTAAGAATGTTAACCCCACTTTTGACATGCACCAAAGGAGTAAAGTTCTTTTATCTTCTTCTTAAAACAGGTGTAAAAAAAAAAGGGGGGGGGGGGGGGACTAAATAAATTCATCACAAATGAAGGCCCAATATGGTGATGCATGCTCATCAGTCCAGAAAGGTATGAGTGGAGTAGAAAGCTTCAAAAAACAGCGCGACTTCTATGCTAAATTGTTCATGACTGGGTCAACTCATTAAAGCCAGAACAACCAGAACTATCCCCAAAAATGCAAAGCAGGTGAATGAGAAGAAGATTATATTTCATTCATTTGCACACACATAACTTTAATGCCCATATGCACACATAAATATATTTCCTAATACAGACTAAGATAGATTTTAAATTATTTTCAACATTCACACACTTTAGAATCAGAATAAGGTGTTCAGCTATTCTAATAATGAGCAATTATGCAAAGGTGAATTATTCAAACTAGGAAACTACCAAAGACTCACATTTAAACAAAAACTACTGGTGTTTTATTAATATCCTACCCCAAACAGGGGAAATCCACAGGTCACGGAACAGTCTAATATTTCAGGGGGTGGTAGATAGGCTGCATGCAGTCGTGGGACCTAGGCTGCAGGCATTTGTGGGACCTAGGCTGCACTCTCTTGTAGGATGTAGGTGGGTTTGGATTAGGACCAGTTCTAGATGTTTGGGGTCGTTAAAAGCATCAGAAAGCCAGGAAACCCAGTCTTTCCACCCTCAAAAATGTTGGACTGTCCTGTGACATCATCTGGGGGTAGGATATTAATAAAGAACCAAACTAATGACTGCAGACATGATGACCCCACAAAGTATACATACCAGTACATGTAGAGTCTCAACATTAGCAACACCGGTGTGGTCAGTGAGTAGTAATATGGCAACAGCCAACGAACTGTGAGAACAAAGTGAGATATTGCCACAATGGAGACCAGCGTCAACACGTAGACAACCTTGCTCTGCAGCCGGTGTGCCCTCAGCACCTGGTCAAATTATAGTATGCCCATGTAAGCTAAAGACAAATATAATTAAATAAGGGCATTATCATCATCAATTAACAGACCTTTATGGAATGTCACTCTCGGCTCAAATCTCTCTTTTTCTCCAGCTACTTCCCTAGCCCTATGCTTCGTAGCCACCGCATCTTGTTAGCCGATGCATCTTCAATGTCTTATATCCACCTTCATGGAGGTCTGCTTCTGCCTGTTTTCCAGAAACTGTACCCTTCATCACCACCATGATATTTAACATGGCCAAAATATATGTTTTCGGGACAGGATGCTGTTTATGAGCCAATTCTCCTTAATATTCAGATCACATGTAGAATATCAGAATTTTTCTGTAGCATTTCAGTTGAAAGGCTTTGATTTTATTCTTCAGTGAGTGAGTAAGAATCCACGACTCACATCCATAAGTTGCCACAGGAAAGGTGTATGATCTCAAAAAAGTAAACTTCAACTTGCTTGCAAGTGCTGTGCAATATATTCTTCATGCTGTTTTATTGTATCTGCACTGCTAAAGTGAGTCTTTTTTCTGACTTCTTTTGTGCAGTCACCACTGTTGTTCACTACTGAGCCAAAATATTCAAAATCTCTGACATTTTAAATGGATTAACGTCACTGTAGCTACACAGCTACATGCGGACGGTGACACAGGCGGACAGTCTCTTGTCCGTACTGGTGGCAGAGCACTTATGGTTTATAACCATGTGCAATGACGCTGGTTCACATCTCCCGACTTTAATATATAAAAGAATATCATATTTTTATTCGTTATTAAGTCAGGGCAGACAATGAAAGACAGAGAATGGTGTATGTTGAAAAAGTGTAAACAGCTTCGTAGGAAATATCAACAGAAGAACATAAACTTATGAATTATAGAGAGAATTAGAGTGTCATGATTACTGACATCTGCTACTGACCAGACACATAAGAAGAGGCAGCTTTATCTAATTATTTCAGTCCTAGTAACTCTCAATGGGAGAAGTCACAATAACAGCAAAAATCAGCAGTAGTGCATTTCCACAAAGGTCAAAACAAGGTAAAATACCTTGTGAGATTTCTTTAGTATGCTCCCACTAGGAATTACAGGTATAATAACACATTTTGGTTGATTGGCAGATGTAAAAAAAAAAAATAGCCAATCACACATGTCACACTGGCTGGTTCATATAATGAAAAGCCAATCCTATGTCATTTGATTAAGAGACACAAAAATTACCCAATCACTGGCTATGTTGACTGGCAAACAAAAAAAGAATAGCCAATCACATGTCATGCTGATTAACGGACATAACTTTTACCAGTCATCTGTTCTTATGATTGGTACACACAAAAATATAGCCAATAATGCATGTCACATTAATTGCAGACAAAGAACTATCACAAATTAAATATCACGTTGACTGGTTGGACATAAAGGATGGTCAGTAATGTCACTCTGATTGGCAGACATGAAAACTGTCAAATCCTCTTCTTCACTGGCTGTGAACTCTGTTGGAGAGTCATGAGTAGTTGTCATGTGCCTGGACCTCTGATCTTGTTCAAAGACTTGAGTGTTGTATGCTCATCTGTTTTAAGATCTGACAGAGTGTGCAGACTGTTGGTTCCTCACATCTCTGGCAGATGCATTCCAACTTTGAAGAAACAAAAAATTGATCCATCTATGTTGGTAAGGCCTCCGTAGGAAATCCATGTCTAGATGACCACACAGATTTTGTGGTTTAAACAACGGATCAACATCATGACACAAGGGTAGTAACCAATTAGTGCTCTGTTCTGCTACTTAACTCAAGCTTGAGCTCGAAGAATCTCAGCGCAGTGCATGAACTCTGTAGCACCGGCGAGGATAATAAAATACTTTGGGTAGATTTTTAACTCCAAATTTTGCCCCCGCAGCACTATTAGGCTACTCTTTTCGATTTACAACTACCAAGGGATTTTTCACATGAGCAACAATACACACTTGCGTCTGATCTTACTACCCAGAGACCCAGGGAAATTACTAGAAGTCCACATAAAAAATCCTAGCCTTTACCAGGCCTTGAACCCGGCACCTCCAGCACTGAGGTGGACACCATGCCTCAAGACCACACATAGGTGTCAATAAGTCTTGACCAGCAAAGGCCCTGGCACATGTTCACCAGTGCAGGCGGTGATGTACCTCTACATCCCAAATAATAGTCAATAACACGTGGTGCATTGTTTGGGACAGAGAGAGCTACATATAAAGAGAAAAATGTTATTCCCTGACAGGTATTCCTGTAGGTGTATAAACTATATGGACTTAACATAGTCATGGCATAATGAGATCATCATCGCCACGTGCCCTGTTAACGGGCATGGGCGTCACAATTTGTTACTACCCAAATATAAAAGAGATGGCATAACTGTTTACCATCCTACCTCACAAAGATTAAATATAAAACCCTCACCTTGAAAAATGCTTTCACATCCGGCTCATCTTTACTAATGGGTTCGACAGTCATCTCTGCCACTGTCTCGTACAGCTCATGCATATGCCTCAGTGAGGCCCTTCCTCTGGAGGCTGACTTTTGTGCAGGTAAATCCTCTCTTAAAAGCATTACATAATCAATCGAGATAACATAATCAATCGAGCCGTCATTATTTGCCGACAATAAATGTCGAAAACAATAAAGTCTACTTAAGATTTCTTTTTCTTCTGCGCTCAATCTGAAAAGGGCGGTTGACTACGCTGTCTTGAGGTTTACAGCCAGGTCATGATATTTGAATCTTTTGTCTAAAACACAAGATTTCACCAAACCACACTTTTACTGTTCACTGGCTGTAAACTCTGGTGAAAAATTATGGTTGTTCAACCAGTTCTGGACTTGTATCTTGTTCCAGAGCTTGAGCTTTGTGTGCACATCCATTTTACAGATCTTGCTTGTTTATATGCAGACTGTTGGTTCCTTGTCACTCAAGTAGATGCACTTCAACTTCAAAAGAGACACCTCTAATTAGTCACCTTTTACAACCCATATCAGGACACCAAGCCCTAATTAGTCACCTTTTACAACCCATATCAGGACACCAAGCCCTAATTAGTCACCTTTTACAACCCATATCAGGACACCAAGCCCTAATTAGTCACCTTTTACAACCCATATCAGGACACCAAGCCCTAATTAGTCACCTTTTACAACCCATATCAGGACACCAAGCCCTAATTAGTCACCTTTTACAACCCATATCAGGACACCAAGCCCTAATTAGTCACCTTTTACAACCCATATCAGGACACCAAGCCCTAATTAGTCACCTGTCATGACATGGTTTGTTAAGGGGGCAGTGGGTCGAGCCTTCTTTCCCTAATGTGGGGCCCCGGAGCCCAAATGAGGAGATCTGTTAATTTCTATTTGGATTTTTCAGGTTGAGTTTTCTACATTATGAGACTGTCAGTCTCATATTAGCTGACTTAAGTCATCTCTTACGAGATGCATGAGCTGTTTAATCATTATCATCATAGGTCCTGCATAAAAGTAAGCGGTTAAGTTTTGTAATTTCATATGATCACCAAAATCATGAATCAGGCCAGTGCTCTAATCCTGCAACAATTATATCTCTTCCTCTTGCTTCTTTTTCTCCATAAATCTTGCTAGCTGTCACCAGGTTCTTGAGTCTATTTTTTCCCGATACTATAGTTTTTTCCTCTTCTTCAACATTCTGAGCCTTTAAGATTTACCGCTGCAGATATTGTCTGCCTCCATTTATTTCTATGACTGGCTTTGTCTTTCCAGCTGGTGACTCCGAGTGTGTGTAGGTCTGCCCAATATTCTTGGTCTGCCTCAAATTCAACTCTTTAGTCTACGCTTGTTGTGTCTGCTATCCATCATTCTCTCTAATGGTTAGTTATTAGTGTTTAAATTTTCTGCTCTTATAAACCCTGGTAACATAACAATACTGCTATACACAGAAAGTTATATTAAAATCCTATCTGGAACAAACTTAACAGGTACATGTAAAGAAGAGAAACAATATTTACTTTAAAGTGTCCATAGAAAACCTCTGAACCTCAGGGCACACCCCCTGTGATGCTGTGTCAGAAAACCTTTGAAGCTCAGGGCACACCCCGTGTGATGCTGTGTCCCCACTTTCCATACAATGTCCATTGCTGTATTTAACTGGGCTAACTGTGCTGTCATGGCGCTTTGGCTTATCTGTGGTGACAAAAGAAAATAATACAAATAAGATCATACTCAGGCAGTAAGTATAAATAGGTCTTGTCAGCTAAAATGCACAATGTGCATTCAGTGTTTCTTTAATCACAAAGAGTTTATTCACTGTCAGACACTTTATTTTTAGTTATTCATATCTGTTAGCTCCTTTCATTTTTTACATCAAGCTCTGCGTATTTGTGTGTGTGTGTGTGAGAGAGAGAGAGAGAGAGAGAGAGAGAGTGAGTGAGAGAACAGAGAGTGAGAGAGGGAGTGTGCGAGTGAGTGAGAGAAAGTGTGTGTGAGAGAGTGAGTAAGTGTGGCAGAGAGAGTGAGGGAGAGAAAAAGAGACAGCAAGTGAGCGAGCAAGTGAGTAAGTGAAAAACAGTGAGAGAAAAACAGTGAGAGAGACAGTAAGTAAGTAAGAGAAAGTGTGTATGAGAGAGTGAGTGTGTGAAAGAAAGTGTGTGTGTGAGAGAGACAGTCAGTGAGTGGGAAAGAGAGTGAGTTGGAGAGAGACAGATAGTGAGTTAGAGAAAAAGAAAGTGAGCAAGTTAGTGAGTAAGTGAGAGAAAGTGTGTGTGAGGGAGAGAGAAAGTTAGTGAGAGAAAGTGTGTGAGAGAGAGACAGCGAGTGAGTGAGAAAAAGTGTGTGTGAGAGACAGAGACAGCAAGTGAGTGAGAGAAAGTGTGTGTGAGAGAGTGAGTGAATGAGTGAGTGAATGTGACAGAGAGAGAGAGAGAGAGAGAGAGAGAGAGAGAGAGCAAGACAGTGATTAAGAGAAAAAGAAAGAGATCGAGAGAGGCTGTGAACTCGGACCACAAGGAGTTTGTCACCCGGTAGCCGCAGTCAGGTTTAACCAATTGAGCTAGCAAGCTGGGCTACCTCTTTAACATATAAAAGCATCCTGAGGTTATTAGTGCCAGTCCTGTGCTAGTTAACAAGACTTCTTATAAGTATGGTGTGCCTCTCATGTGTGACTGTGCCGATCCTTACTTCCAATTTTCGCATTCTTAGCAGTGATGTGGGCACGCTGCTCCCAAAATCCTCTGATTATCCTATCTCTCTAAGGGCACAACATCCAGCTTAAGAATGGAGGTGGAGGCGGTCACTGCTGCTTTCCGCTGGCTAGAGAACACGACACATACACACACACTGTGATTGTAACTGACTCAGAAAGCATGCTGAGGAAGATCAGGACAGGCATGCTTCGTGCAGAGTGGCATCCCTCGCTACGGAAGACACGGGTGAGGAGTATTGTCTGGATTTTTTCACCAGGTCATGCCGGTGTGTTGGGAAAGGAACAGGCGGACAGACTGGCTTGTTCTACACAGCTTGGTGGAATACTGATGCATGATAAGGCAGACATGGTTAGTGCATTGTGGGAGAGCGTGTACAGTGCGGAGGAGCAGATTGATCACCACAGTGTGGTGAGACTGATGCAGTTGGGAGTGACAAGAGGTTCTGGCAGATGCTTGAGGCTCAGAGGAAAGGCAAGACGGACGTTTAATCAGAATGCTGCTGTGATGTCAGTTCTTGAATCAAATCAAATCAAATCAAATCTAAGGGCATTAACAATGTCAACAAACCACAGCCCGACCATCTGCAACTAAGGTAGAACTGAGTACAATATGCAACGGAAAACATGATGAAACTAATTAACATAAACTGAGTATTTACTTTCAACATCCATATTGAAGTGCAGGCATAAAAAAGTGCCTTCAGTGAAGATTGTGATGTAAGTCTATGGGCACACATCAAACATCTTGGTCAGAAACACAACAATGTGATATTTACAAAACACTGAAAAGTAAGAAAAAAAAAGAATTAGCTATAACATTCATTCTTCTTCTTCTGCGTTCATCCGAAGATGTAATTGCGTTGTGTCCGTTTACAGCATGGCTGTAATATTTGCACCTTTCGGCCAACACATCCGACTTCTGCAGACATTTGTTGACCGGGTTAGCCTTCCCGGTATAACTTTCATTTAAAAAGTAACTGACCTGACTACAGTTGTTTTTTTCAGGGGGTGGGGGGGTGGGTGGGGGATAGATATGATGTTTGTGCATGTTTTCAAAGACACAATGTCTCTCAATGGCTGTGATGTGTTCTTGCAATGTTTTGCTTACACAATCCATGCAGTTCTCTAAGGCTATCAATTGTTAATTGAATTATAATGTTTAATCAGGCTTCCGGAAACACAGAGAAGAACAGGCTGTACTTTATCAATTATATACTGTTTTTCCCCCTTTTATTAAAAGCTTTTTGTTGTGGGTCATAAACTCAATGTTGAATATTTTTCCAGGACTCCATTTGGAGGGGAGAAGAACAGATCCACTGCTCCCTTTATTAAACAAGCATGTCATAGAAGGCAACTATTTAGGGGTGCTTCCTTTGAAGTCAAAGTGCACCTGCTATGAAGTGAGGAACCAACAGCCTGCATACAAATAAGGCAGATCTGTAAGTAGGATGTACGTGCAAAACTTGTCCTGGAACAAGAAAAAAGAGCAGTAGGTGACGAGCAACTGGAACTTTCCATCGGAGTTTGCTGCCAGTGAATGCTAAGAAGAGGAGGAGGAGAGCTGCAGCTTTCTTTTATAGTAAAATAAGAATAAGCAAATCTAGGTAACTTTCTTTTCATTCATGGATGAGGTTGATTTATTACTTAGAGGTTTATTTATTACTTCAGCATTTAATAATTCATTTACTTGTTATCTCATTATTTACAGTTATTAGGCTGTGACATCAAGTCTAGATCACATGGTCTATATACTCACAAAAAGCTAGACTTGAATGATCAAAACATTCTCCTAGGTACTTCATTGTACGAGTCCTTTCCACGATCTCAGGAAACAGACTTACACCAGTTGGTGTTGGCGTCTTTATAACATGGTTATTCGGAGATATCCTGTCGTTGCAGACTTCTGGTTACATGCAGGATCAAGTTCTGTCTGAAGACTCTAAGCAACTTTCTTCCGATCTCAGCTCTATTCTGCATTGTAACTGCACGATTGTTGTAAGGTAACTACAGTACTGTCAGTACTAGTACTAACTACTAGTACGCAGCCAGTCGTCATTAACTGTCGCACTTTCAATCCTGCTGTTGGAGATACTTGCACTTGCCAACTTTAACTTCATCTCACCTGCTCACGCATAAAATCTTTTTTTCCCCCTTATTTAATGAGTCAATAGGCTCTACAAATTAACTAAGTTACTAACCGACTAACCGTTTAGTAATAGTAATAAGTAATAGTTTACGCAATATAGTCTGAAAAAATATATAAAAACAGGTGTTAGTGAAGAATAAGAACATCAAAGCAGTGGACAGAATTGTAACATCTAAATTTTGGCGGATAATTCACAATAAAGTTGAAGACTATAGAATCCTTGATTACTCTATAAAAATCATACTAAAAAAATTACATTAATTAATATAACTTCTCATCATATCCCATGCAACAAACATTTGCGTCGTATTTATATTTATTAATTAAATTAAATAATTAATGCCTTCTTTTGACTCACAGATCACGTTGCTGTGTGCAATCATTTCCTTCCCCTACTTGTGGTTAGAAATAAATTATTCACTGTAAACGAGTAAATAAATGTAAATGAATGGAATGTTGATCTCACAGAAATGCAGGAGAGATTCAGGCACCAAAAATGATTCAGATAAATCCACAACACCGGTTGAAGAATTCATTTCCGGCAAAAATATTTTATATTTTGTCAACTATAAATATATTTTATATTACTTTGTTGACAGGGACGAGGTGGCCGAGTGGTTAAGGCGATGGACTGCTAATCCATTGGGGTCTCCCCGCGTGGGTTCGAATCCCATCCTCGTCGATAAAATTTTTTTTTCCACCCCGGTTGTTTAGATTGAAAACAATTTTATTTGCTTTTGAAGGATAGAATGCTACCTGTATTGTCCCCGTAAGATTGCTCTTCTTTTCTATTTTTTTTTCACCAAGTCTAACATACCGCGCAATGAGAAACTGAAGCATTGAAAAGGATGCCAACTGTTCTGACATCTCTTCTGGACATTCCCAGCTGGCTTACTTACTTACTTACTTAGTCGCTCCTCTTCTACCTTGGGGTGTAGAGGTTTGCCAGAGAGATCGTCAGACGTCTCTATCAGCAGTTTTTTTTTTTTTTTGGCTTTGTTCCATTCCAATCCTCTGTCAGTTAGGGACTGTCGGATGTTGTCTTCCCAGCGCACCATGGGTCGTCCTGGAGGCCTTGTTACCTGGTTCCTAGCCTCCCATGGTGGCCGATTTTCCCCCATTCTGCATACATGTCCAAACCATCGTAACTGTGACTGATCCACTCGGGTTTGTAAGGACTGGGTATCAAGATCTTGACGTATTGTCTGATTGCGGACTGTGTCCCTTCTTCCCAGCTGGCACGTTGTCATATTTTCCTTTGCTTTCCTACGACTTATCCAGGACAGGGTTGCCATATTGGCATTTTTCTGCCAGATTCCACAAATTTGGCATGTTTGAAATTGAACTGGCATAAGATAATGAACTGGCATATTTTGGCATATTTGGGATTTTCCTGGCTTTTCTTATCAAGATGTGCTCACATTTGCTTCATGGTTCCTCCGTTAGAAACACGTAGATTTACTAAAAGCACTGTAGACCTACAGATTTCAGTTTGACTTTTTAATATCAGTTTGACTTTGTTGTGATGTCCTGGTACGGACTAACGGAGATTCGCGCCATTTCTTATTGTATTTATTGTCTTTCTAAACGGATATATCCAATTTCGTCCTTTTTAGGACGAAATTTTTTGTCATTTGAAGCCCTACTCTGACTTTTGCCAGGGGCCGCAATATAGGCAGGCCATATATATGGCCAAATGTCTGAACGCGGTTTCTGGGACCTCTCCACGGCGATCCTCATCCACATGGTGGCACTTTGTGTCATCGGGTGTTTATCGCTTGTGTGATGTCCTGGTGGGGTAGAAATTCAGTTCAGTTCAGTTCGGATCGTGACTTCGATAAACCAAGGCCCTCTATAATTTAAGTTAACCTACTAGAATAAATGCGGGATATAAAACCCAAACCCACCACTGATACCAAGTGATTCAGACTGTTCAGAAACTACTCGAGGACAGAAAATAGAGAGGATATAGACCTCGTTCTATCAATGATAGATATTATTACTTTTACCAATGGCCACGTCACCCCAAAAATGGAAAACATCTTATTACATCGCAAATATAATAGTCACTGGAAGAAAACATACCCACGGCTCAAAAGATCTTCAGACGGATTAGAGGCAGCATATTGTAAACTGTGTCAGTGCACTGTTGCACCAAGAATTAGTAGCATATCAAATCATGAAAAATCCGAAAAACACAGGATGAAAACTCTGTCAAAAAAACCAGTCACAGCTTATTACAACAATGACTCCTATCCTAGGCAAAGTTATGATAAAGTTAAAGGCCACAGAGCTGCAACTTGCTGTAGGCATGACCCGCCATTGGGCAATACGCACAGTTGATCATCTAAGTGAAATCACGAGAGCGCATAGTCGGGGGAGTACATTAGAGCACATACAGTTGCTTATAACTAATTGTTCATGCCTAATAAAAAAAAAAAATTGTATCGCCTGCACTTAATGCAGATGTCTTGGGCTATAGGAAGAAGTATTTACCAACTAGCGTTTCTAGGACATCCGCTAACTTTTATATATTTAGAACATTAAGAGGTATAGCAGCGGCCAAGCTACTACAACCTCCCCTCGTTAAATTGGTGAAAATATGGGGGTGACTGCAGTTAAGCTTATACAAGGAATTCCAGAAAAAGTTGACTAAAAAAAACTCAACAAAATGGGGAAGCAGTAAAACGTGAACAAAAAAACACAACGTAACGTATCGACCGGGTGGCCTTTTTCAAACACAAGTGGACTACACAAACTCCTCCTTTCCTCCTCTCCTCGTTCGTGTAGTCCACTTGTGTTTGAAAAAGGCCGCCCGGTCAAAACGTTACGTTGTGTTTTTTTGTTCACTTTTTACCGCTTCCCCATTTTGTTGAGCTTTTTTAGTCAAATTTTTCAGGAATTCCACAATAAATTGTTTGCAAACCGAATTGTGACTGACTGACTGACTTTCTACCTCACTAGGTCATCACACAAGCGATAAATACCCGATGACACAAAGTGCCACCATGTGAATGAGGATCACCGTGGAGAGGTCCCAGAAACCGCGTTCAGACAATTGGCCATATTGATGGCCTGCCTATATTGCGGCCCCTGGCAAAAGCCAGAGTGGGGCTTAAAATAACAAACAATTTCGTCCTAAAAAGGACGTAAGGAATTGGAGTTGTGACTGATTGATTGACTTTCTACCCCACCAAGACATCACACAAGCGATAAACACCCGATGACACAAAGTGCCACCGTGTGGATGAGGATCGCCATGGAGAGGTCCCAGAAACCGCGTTCAGACAATTGGCCACATGTATGGCCTGCCTATATTGCGGCCCCTGTCAAAAGCCAGGGTAAAAAAAACTTTCTATCCTTACGTCCTTTTTAGGACGTAATTTTTTGTTATTTGAAGCCCCACACTGGCTTTCGACTGATTACTAAAAAAGCATCTGACATTTAAATTGAAAAGCAGGCTGACAACTCCATAAACTAAAGTTTTCACAGTTTAGCAGGTCATTTCCCTTAGTAATAATGCAGGGTGACCTTATTGGTAATTTTCGGAACAAGAAATATGCCATCATTATAGATGAGTTGCAAAGATTTCATCCCATCTGAGAAAATGCTTAAAGATTTTACATCCGAAAAGGTTTACGGTCTATCTTTCACTTGTTCCAGTGAGGATGACAGTGAAGAATTCAATCTAGAGCTTTTGATGTGAAGCTAGTACAATGTTACACTTTATCTTGCATTTTCTGGCTATTTTGGGCTGTGGTTTGGCATAAAATTAAGTTTTTTTTATCTGGCAACCCTGATCCAGGAATGCATGAGTATTGTCCACACATTGTCAACAGCATTCGGTATCGTTTCTGCATTCACCTGACAGTGTAATAATATATACACATATAGCGGGGGTTAGTTAGTGGTACTGTGTTTTTTTTAAAACTTTACTTCTGGTCCAGTATTTCTGACTTCAGGATCGCTTGAGGGGAGAGTGGGTTCATTCCTTTACCCCGTTTGTTGTCCCATCTAGTTTCCCGCTGGGGATTGAGACTTCAACCTTCCACTGGATTGCTGGTAAAAACAGGGTCCACCACGTGAAGGTGATGTAGGCTTTAGCAAGACATCATTGCTCCATGTTGAGAAGGGGACAGAATGTGAACAGGGAGAGAATACGGTAACATATTTTACTTTGAGAAGAAAAGGATCAACCGGTAAATCAGGAGTGAATAGAAGAATCTAGTCAGAGGTGACTACCGTTTACTTTACAGGCATCGACAGGTCATTATTCTACTCTTTAGGACAGGACATAACAAACTTAACAAGCACATGCACAGGCTTCGTTTAAGTAGTTCACCATTAAAATCGTTTAGGCTGTGTGCGAAGACTACAGAACATGTCCTGCAAGAAAGTCCTTTGAACAGCCCATTAAGAATGAACTACTGGCACACTGAGTCAACACTGTACTCAAGAGTTGCATGGAACTAAAAGGAAACTCATCAAAACAGTTTATTTCCCTCCACCTTTGACGGTCAGCTGCACAGAACTTTATGGTTGCATGTTTAGGGCTGTTCAGCCAGTCAACTTCTGTATCCATGTCTTTCTTGGTCGGCTTCTTCTCCTCTACTGAGCCCTGTATTATGGTTTCCAAGAGGCCGTTAGATCTTATTACATGTCTGTACCATGACAAGGATGTACAGGAGATACCCGTGTACTATGTGTGCGATTTAAACTTGCACTGCCTACTATTGCAGATAGGCTCAAAGTTCTGCAAACAAAATCACATTTCAGAGTAGATGCGGACAAGAGGCACCTCCTGCATGAAGCCTTGGATAGAGCTAAGGGTCACAGGCTGAAAAGAGGAAAGTTTTGGATGGCGCAAGCTAAAGACACAATTGGACATGTGTACAGGCTTGATAAATTTAGGCGAGGAGAAGAGTGGGTCAAATTTTCCGATCAGGTTTCAGACTTGTGTAGGGTTCTAATCACTTTGGGACGAGAGCGCTTATGGGGGTGTCCCGCGTGCTGTGATGTCGATTCTTAATTAATTCAACAACTATCATAGCATTTTCCGTCATTTCACAGTAGTCGAAAAATCATTAGAGTTGCTAATGTGATCTCCCAATATATCAAAGGAAATAGTCTAAAGGTCAGAGGATCAACTTTCTTGCACTGGGTTTTATCCTGCATGACTCTGTCTCTGCAGAACACATAGCCACCTGCTGACAGCTTCACACAAAGTAGGAACTCAGTAGCTCCAGGAATGATCCCCAGGGTCTCTGTAAAAATTGCACATGTGGACCGAACGACGCAGCTATAAAATGAGGCCATGAACTTCACAGCGCGAGGCACGACCCTCAACTAGCTCCTACCAAGTACCTCGTAGAATTGCTCATGATTGGTTGGATTGTGAAGCTGCAATTTTCTATAGGATGAGATAACCAGGCTGACTGAAGCCAACCCTTTTATGACATGTAGGGTAGATTACATTATTACTCTTTGCTTCCATTATCGTTCCTGATAGAACACACATGCTTACTCATATGTGCACGAATGTTATTTTCCACAGCGTCAAGCACTCCTCATGCTCATGAATACTTGTACTTTCATATTTTAAAACCGTGATCTACTTCCAAACGGACTCCTGTAGAAACTTTTCTGACTCCAAGTTTTTGAATGACCAGCTTGCTCTATATTTATGTGCATTATAACAAGAGACACCCATATGGGTTCTGAGCCCCAGTGTGGACGAAACAAGAGTAGACACTGCCTCCCCAACATGCATGTCGTAAGAGTAGACTAGCTGGGAGCTTCCGTTGAAGTTGGAGTGCATCTGCCTGAAAGGAAACAACAGTCTGCATACAAATAAGCTAGATCTGTAAAAACGGTTGTTCATTCATTAGATTCTGTAATTAGACTAAAGTGCAAAAGTGGACGAATAACTATATCTTTTCGCCGAAGTTTACAGCTGGTGAACGTGAAGAAGAAGAAAAGGATATTAGTGATTTGTTTTGCAAGCTGAACTATGTCATGTCCTGACTCCATAGGAAAGTGTACTGACCTCATGTGACTAGAGGTGGGTTCACTGGAGGAGCTCCACAGTGTTAGCACCAGCAATAGAACCAGGAATGAATCAAGAATGGACATCCATGCACACTGGACATTCCTATATATGCTCTGTATCTTACCTCTGTAGCCGAGTCGATAAGCTAATAGTATCAGTTGCAACCAGATTGAAAGTATACCTGTGTTTCCCCCTCAATGTTGAGCATCTTCCAGAATCTCTATTCATAACCGCCCCCTCCCCCCCCCTTTCAATGTATGGATTCTCTATATTGTCCATTTGATCCCAGTCTTCACTACATCCACTTTCTCATAAAATAGCTCACTCATCCACAGAGTCAATCAAGCATGAGTGGTTTCTGGTGCACTTTTAGGCCCAGTATTGATGACTTTAGTACTTTGACAGATGACCAGCTAGTAGCCCCTGAAAATGTGTCCTTAGCCACTGCCTAAAACGATTACATTGCAGTATCATGCATTCTCCAAAGCTCTGTTATTCTTTTTCGCTGCTTAGTATTGTCCTTAAGAAAGAGAATAGGGGCTTTTGAGCTGAAATGCTATTGAAAGATTCTCAGAATATCTTGGACAAAGAAGAAGAGAAATAATGACATCTTGAAAGATCTGAATATCAAGGAAGATTGACTAATAAACAGCATCCTTTCTCGAAGGTGAAATATTTTGGTCATATCAAGTGCCATGACAGATTTGAAAAAAATTATAGCAGAAGGCATGGTACCAGGAAGGAGGGGCAGGGCCGACCGACATGACGATGGGCACAGGATATAAGTGACTCCTTGAGTGTGAAAGTTCATGAGGCGGGAGAACTGGCGAGAGACAGAGTTTCTTTCAGGCAGACCGTGATTAGAGCGACGTTCTGCAAAGGACCTGCTACATGATGATGATGTGTATTTTTATGAGCATATTTTAATTGCTCGACCTAAAAAAAAACTGAAGAGACAGAACAGTAATAAATATTGCCTTTTGTTTATTTTAAATTTACAAATGACTTTATTTTCAACCGCAACATCACTGAAATGCATTACACGAAACATATTTATACATCACAAATCTAATTTTAAATAAAAGCAACTTTCCGTTCAAAGAGTGGAACCATCCATGATTTTATCTAACTCTTTATTGAGGAATATTTCTAATATGGTTATTCAACACACAATGTGGCACTTATCATAATGATCATTATTATCTTGGTATCATCATCATCAGGTGCTTTGCCAACAAGTGTCAATAATCAGGACTGACCAACATCAGGTATCCATTTTAAGGCTGACAACTTTCCATGCCATGACAAAAGGTTGTCAAAAATATCCTCCTCTACCTGGTAGCCAACATGGTGTAGCAGCTAGACACTTGCCTACAGATCTGAAAGTCGTGGGTTGAGGTCCTAATGGAGGCAGATTTAAAAAAAAAAAAATGGCCTTGGCTCCCATGTTGACCCAGCCTCAAATAGGCATTAAGTCATGGGAAGTAAAGGCGGCAGGCATGATGCTGACCACATCACCCACTCAATGCGGACTGGTCTATAAAATACAGGTCTGGTCCTATATGCCTGGAGGTGTGGAAAGGGGTGCTTTGATTCCTCTACCTCTTATTCCAAAAATATATGAATCTGTTACAAGATGTTCCTGCTCGTCTTCTTTCTGCTTAAAAGAAAAAAAAAAAAACTAATTTAACAATTGACTCCTTTTTGTGTCTCTTAGTCCCAGATGATTTCAAATTAGAAACCCAATCTGGCAAAATAATCAGTTTAAAAAAAAGGTACATCATTTATTCTAATTTTAAACTGTTTGGCCAGAGTTCTTCAGCATACCTAGACCAAATATGAAATAAATAAATAACACTGTGCTGACATACAAAAACATTAGCTCAGCACATATGGTGCGTTACTTGGGACATAAAGAATTATGTTTGTAGTAAGTTATCTGTGCTTTGCCTTTTTCAAAACATTCAGATTACTCATTCTGGCTGTCTAAAAAACATGTGTGCCTTGACAGAGGCAGGCCTGCTATTCTGTTCACATTGTCACCCCAGATTTTATTTTAGCACAGTTTAATCTTCTATTCTTTTTAGAGCCTCATTCTTTTATAAAGTTGCTAGTCAATTCTATTAATTCCAGTTTCAAACTTAACAGATAATTTTGTGATTGTAAGAATATAGTCAAAAATGGCACTTATAAAGAAAACACCTAATATATTTATATTAAAATGCTTTAATACAATTAGTGAGATGTTTCACAATTGCCAGATAATTATGGTATAAATGTAGCCTACTGATTAAACAGTAGTAGCCTCATATATCTGCACTAATTGGCACTTGACAGGTGATCTGGTCGATGTCATGCCAGTTTCATATTTGGCACCCACTGTTGTCTGGGTCAACTTGGGAGTGTGATCAATGAAACAGAAAAATATTCATCACACAGGGTTGCCCACATAGCCACAGCCAAGTGCGTAAGCCATTGCACTATTGAGGCATGCCTAAGGTGAAAGTATCTGACCAAATATTTAACAATGAAGCTTATTTCAAATGGCATATATCTAACTGCGGGAATAAAAATAAAGGACCCTTTTCACACTAGAGGCACATAGTCCATTGTTTAGACCAATTGACACTCAATGGGTGGTCAACTCCCTAGAACATATTCTGGTAGCCATTGGGCAAATCTGGAAGCCAATATCAATTTGAAAAAAAAAAAAACACAACAAGAACATAACAACTGTAAACACAAGATCCAGAACCTTGTTCATCCATTAGGTTGTAACCATGATGGTTACAAAATAACCCGAAGTCTGGATACGGTATGGGCTAAGGATGTTTACTGCAGGCTTTAAGAAGCTGATACTCATAAGGAACCCTTGCAGAGCTTTAAGAACAACTTGTATATATTCATGTAAAAACATTCTCAGATATAAACCACAAACAGCAACACATCTACAACAACATATTGGAAGCCTGATGACTAAACATGGCAGAATCTGCTTTTTCTATCCTCTCTTGTAATAATTCTCTAGTAGATTCTGGCAAGCCCTTGTTCTTGAGATGAACTTTCATGAACACCTGTAATCCATGCCTCAGTGTGTTGAGTTTGGGGAATGGCGCTATACGCTCAAATATTTCCAACACTGTAGTCTCCTTGGAGCTGCTGAGAACCTCAGTCAGGACCTGTGCCATCAACCGAATCATCTTCTTGCTCTCCATACCAAACTCCACAACCTGCAAGAGAAAATACATTTTATATCAGGATAACAGCACATAATGGGAGAAATTCGGCCACCATGGCAGGCATGGGAGCTAAGAACCAGACCTCCAGGGCGACCCAGGGTGCGCTGGGAAGACAACATCCAACAGTCCCTAACTGACAGAGGACTGGAATGGAACAAAGCCAGGAAGAGAACCGCTGATAGAGACATCTGGCAATCTCTTTGGCAAACCTCTACACCCTACAAACCTCTACAAGGTAGAAGAGGAGCGACTAAGTAAGTAAGAATAACAGCGGGCTGGTCATATGTCTGTAAAGGTAGCACATTGGGCATATGAGGATAGACTCTTATTGTTTATAAAGTAGTCAGCCTTCGATGGATGTTGTCAACATCTTCATGATGGCCTTTACTTCCCTGGACCTTACTTCATACCCGTTAAAGGCAGGGTCGCCCCGGAAGCCAACGTCATGTTTGAAATCTAAAACAAAATTTGTTTTAAAATCCAGCTTATGTCTGTCATACACAATGTTGAATTAAGAATGGACATCACAGCACTTGGGACACTCCCATAAGTGCTTAGTCCCCATCTTCAGCAGCAAGCATAGAGTTTCAATTCAGATGGTACCAGTCTGATTGTATATCAGTCTCATCCTTCCCCTGAGTTTTGAGTGTCCACCAGATCCCCTGGTAACTCCTTGCAGCGCCATTCTCCTCAGACCGTAATGATCTATCTGTGCCTCCACACTGTTCACTCGCTCCCAAAGGGCCCTCACAATATCTAACTTGACCTAGACAAAACTGAAGGTAAATCCTGTTAAAGGGATCTAAAGTGTCAGGCATTCATATGGAACTCTACATTATAGTTGTAAACCCAAGCAATGCATTTTCAGTTCCCATGTTGTTATAGTTTTAACATTTGCCAGTAACAGTTGAAGAACCACCAAACACATGGAGTGAAAGTAAAATGCATTCGAAAACAAATGTCTAAGAAACTGATGAACACTAAATAGAATGAAATTAAGAAAGGCAAAGAAATAAGAGAAATGTCTGGACAACCTCCGGTATCAATTAATATGACAAACAAGAGGATAACACATATCTTGGTATATTCAATCAAACAAATATCTAGGTCACCCATCATCTTAATCAGATAACACTGCATACTGTTGGGTCGCCAGTTGTTACTGACTGCCTGGTTAGTTCCCTCCTCCTCTGTCAGTCAGAGGCACATGGTGTTTGCATGTCCATGAAACTAAATTCTATTTCCAGGCTTTTCTTAGTTTGTTAATTCTGCTCTTACCCTCTAGCAAAACCCATAATATCATATTGAAAAATATCTTGGCAAATTCGGTCAAACTAATGAACATGACGACTGACCTTGAAAATTGACAAAGAAAGGGACTTTGTCACGAGAAGATGGGATAGCAGCTGGCCCAAATTATTCCTAGCGACTGTATCGATGGAATCAATTTCTTTAAACTTGTCCCACATAGTGAACTGCACAGTCATCTAGAACAAAAATTCATGCATGAATTCACTATTGTATAGTAAGTATATCAATGAGTTTATGTGATAACAATCAAGCTTAATAGTGTGTTGATGTATGTTATAAAGACAGTCCCATTTCTGTCCAGGCGTGAAGTGTTAGGCCTTTACATTTTCCCAAGCCACAGGAATGAATAACTGAACAAACAAACTTTATTTTCAAAAGTTTAAGAATTGGGGACAAACCACTCTGACTTCACTTCATTCATGCATCATTTAATTGATATATATCTTAACGGGTAAAAATAAACATCACCAACAATAACTTAACATTAATTTAAAATTTCAAAATGTGCTCAAATTATGCCTACATTTCTAAACGATCGACATATTAGTCAGATTTATCGTGCTACCCAGGGATTGAAAAATTCCAACCTGGATGGCAAGACCAACAAAGCAGATCCTAGATACCATACTCAACCTACAAAGAAGTTATAAATAGGGTCTCGGTTATGGCTACACCAGCCAGATGTAGCCTGCAGTCCTATCTGAATAATGACAGCACAGAGTACCAACATTTGGATGAGAATCACCTGGGAGCAAGCCCTAGAAACCCAGTTCAACCCGCAAGTTATATTTAGGGCCGCCAAATACAAGCGGGTGGGGTTTAAAATAACAAATAAATTAAATCCCATAGTGGGTAGGTAGGTAGTTGTAACATACCAGGACATCACATAAGCGAAAAACACCTAGTGACACAAAGTGCCACTATGCGGATGAGGATCACCCATGGAGAGGTCCCAGAAACCCCTTTTAGCTGTTAGGCCATATTTATATTGTATATTCAGGGCCCCCGGCAGAAGCCAGGGTGGGGTTTGCATCAGTGTGTAACTTCTGTGGATGCCACACGAGCTACATATGGATTCAAACAGCACATAAAATAACTGTTTGCTATAAATACCACACAAAGTACAAACGGTTGCAGATATTTTAAAAAATACCAAGGTGCCAACTTACTGTGAATCTTCTGTCAAACGTGCAGAATTTCTGGGCCAGGAAACTGTAAAATGGGTTGTATGTGCGCTCATTCAAACAGCAATGAACTAATACATGGATTATCTCCCTTTCCTGGGTGCGATTAAGTCCTAACCGCAGTAGCCTTGAAAAGGCGTCTTCAAAGTCCTGGTGACAGTAAACATTTTTTAACCAATAATGACAAGAATTAACTTGAATAAATATAATACCATATTTTTGAGAACTAGATTCAGTAACACTCTGTGAGGAAGCCACAGTAACATAAAGGCTAAATGCTCGCTTGCTATTTGAAATGTCTTTGGTGCGAATCTGTATCGTGGCGGATTATTTTTTAAAGTGGTCTTGGTTGGCCTCAGGCTGATCCAGCCTAAAATGGGTACCTGGTAATGTCCTTGGAAGTAAAGGTGACCTGTGTGATGCTGACCAAATCATCCACAGAATGCCAATAAGTCTCAAATAACTTTGAGTTCAGCATCACCACCTGAGGCGTTGGTGGCATAAAAAGAGTTTAAAAAAATACAGCAAACAAACAGCTTCGAAAATTAAGGGATCAGATTTCCTTCCTCTAAATGCCAGTAAAGTAAAAGACGTTTTTAACACTAGTTGTGTACTGGACACATGCAGCTAGACCAGTGATGTGGTCGACATCATATCAAATGCTTTTACTTCACAGGACATTTCTTAATACCAATGTTAGGTTGGGCAAATATTTTTTTTTTAAAATATGTCTCAGCGTGGATTTAAACCCAAGACCTTCAAGTCACTGCTCTACCACAGTTCCCCTCTTCCAGATGGTTGGTTAGTTGCGTATCCTTTACAGGACGTTGCAGAACCAACCCCAACAGCCCCTGGCTGTTGTGTGGTTTTTCTAGGCAAATTTTCGTCCAGTAGTTTGCCATTGCTTTTTAGACGGTCGGCTTTCTTGATACCACTGTAAAAACCATTGCAAGGTGCATGGCCCGCAGCTGGGATCAAACCCAGCGTCCCGGCATTATGAAGCGTTCGCATCAACTTAGCCACAGAGCCAACCTCTTCCAGATACAGCTTGGAAAAAATATATTTAACAATAATGCAAAGCTGTTTTTCTTTAAATTGAAGGAAGAGGGGGGGGGGGGGGGGGGCGGAAGAAGCTGCTCAGCAGTTAAATATATATGTAAGCATGCAATCTTGAAACTTTTTTAAATCTTGTGGAGAAGTCCTAGCTGTAAGGACAATTCTGTCTGCATCTTTATACAAATAATTTCTATGATGTTCCTCATCAAAACTGAATTTTTCATTTATCTTACATCAGCCTCCATGCCAGAACTGAAATTTCTTAATGCAGATGCTTTCTGATCAGTGTTCTAGTAGCAAAAATGTGTTCTGGTGCACGTTTTATCTGATATAAATTAAGCAGTTCTTCCCACAGGTTCTCTACTACCAATTAAAAAAATTATTATTTTACTTAAATGACTTATAAGGCGAATGGCTCTGTTGTTATTTTCTATGGTCCACGTGCCGGATCCGTGGGCCTCATTGTGGTGAAAAGAACTGCCTCCTCAAAAAGCATGTCGTAGGTGTCAACTAATTGCGGACTTCTTTCGAAGTCGGAGTGCATCTGCCCGACAAAGAACAAAGAATATCTGTGGCAAAGAACAAAAAACTGCACACAAATAAGCCAGTTAAATGGATGTACATGCAAAACCCAGTAAAGTCAAAGTCCAAATGGACGACCAACCAGGACTTTCAGCTGGATCTTACAGCCGGTAACCAACAAAAACTGGGGAAAAAATGTGTATAAAATGGGAAGTAAAGGTGGCCGATGTGATGCTGACCATATCAACCATCGAATGCCAACTGGTGTACAAATATTTGAGTCTAGTATCATATACCGATGCGCCAATATATATATATATATATATATATATATATATATATATATATATATATATATATATATATATATATATATATATATATATATATATATATATATATATATTTTTTTTTTTTTTTTAAGGATCTTTTTTTTTAATTTTATAAACAGGTTGACATCTACTAATAACAGTTATAAAGCAATCAATTTATTTCTGTTGCCAGAACTGATCTTTTCTTCCTAATAGGATGTTTTATCAAAATAAAAGAATAGCTACCAACATTTCTGCTATGTATAAAAGTGTTCTTTTGCCATGGTTTTTCTTTACAGCCTACAATCTAAGACAGTATTATGCAAAACATCACACAAATTAAATGAACACTAAACACCACAGTCACACTAAACACCACAGTCACACTAAACACCACAGTCACACTAAACACCACAGTCACACTAAACATTTGTTGTCTTACAGACTTTCAATAATGATCTAATAATAATGTTTCAGGCCACACTTAGGAAACTCTTACTGACCTCACTTGTCCCAAGTATACAGAAAATATGTCTGCGGATATCTGTGTTCATGCCTTGTTGTTTTGCCAGCGTGAGCAGCTGTTTGGTCACTGTACCAACCACTGATGTCTCCACCTTTGATTTGGCCTCTGAAGCAAGATGTACCAGTTAACAATAATAATAATCACAAGCAAACCTTAAAAATAGAAAACATAATTTACAGTAAAACTACACAATGATACTTTAAGTCAGTATATAAATATGCATAAACTGGTAACAATAACAAGTATCAGAGACGTGTTAAACACTTCTCTGCGTGTATGTGCATGCATTTCTTTAAATACAGAACAAGGAAACAAGTATTCTGAAAGTTTCCCCCGACAAAATTAACATGAAAATTCCAGACAGTACTTGGATCAAAGCATGTGAGCTGAAAATTTTTTTTCGATTAAAACTAAAATAAAAGAATTGTAAAATATATTTTGCCCACATGCTGTTGATTTCACCTTGCTTGTTAAATTTTATATTTTATTAAATTGTTACATTTTCTTAAATATACTAATTATATGTGTTCATTCTCTTAACAGTGCTTAGCATTATATATGGGTTTTTCAGCATTATACACCATTCATTATGAATTCAGTGTTGTCCTTCTTATGTCTTTTTGTTCAGATGACTTGGTTACATCCAAATATGCCATTTGGAAACTGTGAAGTTCTGCACTGATAGTTCACACCCTGTAGTTTATGAGCTTGGAACGGACAGCTCTAAACTACTATGTTGCTGAGTAAGGAGATGAGTCTCTTCAAAACACTACTGCAATAGATGGAAGCTAACTGCAGGGCCCAGAAGAATTAAACTCCAAAGCATTATAGTCTTGCAGAGGGTTCATAAACAACATTACGGACTGGCATAATCACACTCTTACACATGGCCTCTGCGTGCAGCCTTTTGTCTGTTTAAGTTCCTCAGGTTTAAAATCTGACGGAAAGGCCTAGTTGTTCGCCCACTTCTGGACTCTGGTTTGTTGCCTCTCAGGCAGATGCGCTCCAGCTTTCAATTCAATTTTAACGGTGACCACATTCAACTAAGGGTCGGAAAGCATTGCTGCTTTCCGCTCTGCCCGCTAGATTTATGGTTACAGGTCTGCGTTCATTAAATCAGATTTTTCTTTGTGTTGTCAGTTTCCTATCACTCGTGGGTTTTTTTATGGTACCTTCTCGTTGGACTGTTCTCGTATCTGGCTGTTCTTGCGCTGCGTTCTGGATCGTTGGATTTGCTGCTTCGCTGTCGTTGACGGTTAGGGTGGTTTTTATTGGCCAGTTGGTATGTCCAAGAAGAGGGGGAACCGCTTGCCATGAGAAGGAGTGGCAGTTTGTTGCCTGGAGCGGTGCTGGGTCGGGTTATGGGTAGAATCTGGTGCTGCTCAAACATCAGGTTTCAAGTGGTTTGGTGCTGGCGATACGACTTCTACTTTGCCTTCACCGGCAGCAAACTCCTGCGGAAAGTTCTGGCTGTTCATCCACTTCTGGAATGCAGTCTATTCCAGAACCTGAGCGCTGTGTGTGCATCCGTTTGACAGATCTGACTAATTTGTATGCAGACTGTCGGTTCCTTGCCTCTCAGGCAAATGCACTCCGACTTCGAAAGGAAACTTCCAATCAGTCGACTCTTACGACATGCTTTTGGGTAGACAGTCGGTCTATTCTTGTTTTCCCTATAATAAGGCCCCTGAAACCCACACAGGGAGCTGCTGGCAATACTGTCTCTGGCATTATTTTGTGTGGTTTTGGCGCCCGCTGTGTTTGGTGTTTGGTTCAGTGTTTGAGTCTGTTTGTCTGGGAACCATGGTACGTCGTCTACTGGCTGGCTTGAGCTGAAGTAGTCTGCTTCAGTTAGGACATAATCTGGTGGGTGGATCTTGTTCAGTAGGTCGTTTCTGGTCACGTCTAATTTGATCTGAAGTGCCTTTGTGCGTTCAAATGCTCGCATTGTTTCTTCTGTGAAGTGCCACTGTGTTTTCACCTCTGCTGCTACCTGCGCTTTGAGTCTGGTATCCTTTCCTTTCTGTAGTGCCTCTACCCTGTCTGCTTCTTTGTGGACTTCTTCTTGTCTCACGTTGATCACCTTTTTTGTTTCTTGCATCTCATTGCTTAACTTTGCATTTTCTTCTTCAGCTCTAAGTAACTTTGCCTCTGTTTCTGCTAGTGTTGTCTTGACTGAGGTGATTTCGGCAAGGAGTTATTGCTGGGTTGCTCTTATTTCTTATCGGTCTCTGTTTCTTTGGTTGTCTGTCCCCTCTGGGTCTGAATGACACTCAGGAAGGCCAGGATGTCGACTTTGAACTTCACCATGTCTGTGCATTCTGCTTTCCATCATTTCTGAGATTCGAGGGACGAATGCATCATGCTTTGTAGATCTATCATCTCGTCTCTCTCTGGGCTTTGGTAGATGTCTTCTCTTCATGAAGTGCCTGAATCTCATTCTTCAGTCGGGTGATCTCGTTTTCAAGCTTGGTGGTGACTGCTGTTGCTACACCTTTGGTCCAACTTTGAAGGAGCAGCCTTTTTATATGTCCACTTGTGTTATTGTATTATTTCTAGGTTGATTTTCCTAAAATCAACAAAACACTAAATTGTTCTTAGGATTAAAAGAGTAAAAAAAAAAAGCCCGGCTCTCTAGCGTAGTTGGCTAAACCGGACTGCATGGTGACTGGGTGACGAACTCCTTGTCGTCCGGTTCACTCCCGGGGGTAGGCAGAAAAGCCACATTTTCTCCCAGATTTACGGTACCTATCATGGAATCAAGGCCGTAGGGTTGTGATATCCATAGTACCGAGCCGAAGGGTAAACAACTAATGGTTTCTGGTTATAAAAACAAACAAACAAAGAGTAAAAAAAATTAAAATGCTACAACAAAGCAACTAACTTATCAGATGCCTCATCAGCAGCAACCTTCTCCCGATTGTATATTTGATAGTATAGAAGCCAGAAACAAATAAATCTCATTTACTCATAGAAATTAAAATCTATTGTTTATATTTTTTTCTGGTTTAAATTCTAGTACGCCAATACCTTTCAATGTCTGTATAGTATGTCCTCGTACTATTTCCTTCCATTACTTCAATGAGTGCCAATCAATACCTGTGAATTTATTTCAAGTTACTGCCTTAAGGGTTTACTGTCCGTAGATGTGTAATAAGCTGGTAAACAGAAAAGTTAGTTGCTTATCCTTCACAGGACTTTACAGAACCAACCCCAGCAATTTTTTTTTAGCTGTTGCGGTGTTTCTAGGCACATTTACGTCCAGTAGTTTGCTATTGCTTTCTGGAGGGTCGGCTTCTCGATACCACTGTTAAAACCAATGCAAGGGGTAAACAGAAGCAATGTTTAAAACAGAACTTTAATGTTGAGACATTGTGTGATCTCAGCATACATGCAAAAAACATAATATACTTTACAAATTAAAATATACCTTTGATGTTCTCAATACTGTAATGTTGAGACATTGTAGTGTGATCTCAGCATAATACTCAAAAACAAAATATTCTTTACAAATGAAAATATACCTTTGATGTTCTCAATAGAGTCCTTACGTCCTTCCCAAGCAGAGCCCACAATCCACCATTTCCCAGAATGATCAGCTTTCAATAGATCTTCAAGGCTAATTGTCAACTGGTCCTCTCCCAATCCATGACCTAAAAATGTCAAACATAAACCAAATGACATATTAAGAGAATCCACAATGCTAATGACTAAAACAAAGAGCTATATCTGACTGTGGTAAATGCTGTTAGGGAAAAAAAATCAATCAAAATGAAAAGCAGAGAGTCAGCTTATAAAGTGCAACAAAATGGTGGCTGGAATTTCAAAAAGCTGTAAATGTCAGTGAAAGAAACACAGCTTTTTTGGGGCAACAGATTTAATGGATGCCAGGGAAATGGTTCTAATCCTGAACTAATAAGTTAGGAAGGCATAACTGCCAAATTAACCATTCCAAAAGATTTATATGTATAGACTGTGTTTTAATTTTAATAGATTTCAGGTCTAAGCCATTTGCAAAGTAAATCTTTAGATGACACTCTTGGTTTCCATGTCCCCATAAGATAACAGTCAAAAATGTTCCCATCAGGAAATTCTTCAGTGGTCTATTTAATGTGGCAGAAGTATTATTTCATTCAGTAATGTCTGTTTCCATAAGCGATACAAAGACATAACAGAACAACCAATAATTTACCCACCTTTCATAAAGTTTTTGATAATTTTCCTCAGATGTTCTAGGTGAGTTGAATCATAGCCAGGTATCTTGCGCATGTTGTTGTTTTTAATCGCCATCAGCACATCCAGCATAAACCGAATCCTCGACTTCAAACCATCGGTACCAGAGCTCTCAGCAGAATGAGCTTTTGCCTGAATATCCAGGATGGCCTGTTTTAACCGGGCAGGGTCATCTTTGCGCAAACTAAATCCAACAGCTGCAAACAATGTTACAAGAGAAAACATACTTTTAAAAATCTGACTAACTTTTAGAGTAAGATTTTACAACAAAACATATTTTTTATTGCAGCTTCACATATGCTAAATCAGTACTAAAATGACTAATCGTCTCTCCAGCTGTCTTTACAACAAAACGAAAAAAGTTTACAGCCAAAATTAAAACACGACCAAGGTAAAAACCAGTTGGTGCCTGTGGACCAGTCGCTGTGAATGTGCTTCGTAGTGCAGGGGTAAACAGTTCAATTCCAGTTGCAGGTATTTTGACAGCAGACTGCTCTGTGGTGAATTGGCAGTGTTCTCGACAGCTGATTATTCAGAAAACAAAACAAACTACACGCCCCCCCCCACCCCCCCCCCCCTCCAATAGGCACTGGAATCCACCCAGGGGCCAGGAGGCATTAACAACAAAACAACAATACAAAATTTGACTGGAATAGACAAGTTAAATCTTCATCTTATCATTTTAAATCAGAAAATAACCTTGAATCATCATTGTGAGAGACCATATTGTACATTTCAGTTACCTTCATGAAGCAGATTCTGTATACAAATGAGTCTTGGGGAATAAATTCAGTCCCCTGGGCTTTTCTTTTATATTCTATTATTAATTAGACTCGGTATGCAAGGTAGCATGATGTCTCACAGTATTTAAAGCTTCAACCTCTACAGAAGTTACTGTCAGGTACATTTTAGCAAATCTTACAAATTTAATTTCCTGCCTAACATTAAACAAATTAATTTAAAAAAGGTGGTTTTTTTTGGGGGGGGGGGGGGGGAATTAGAGGTAATTTATTATGAAAAGCCTGAAAATTAAAACAGGGACATGAATTACCATGATGAAAAGAATATTCACCTTTTAGTACATGTAGTAGCAGTTCAATATCTCTTTCTCCAAAAGATAGCATAAATTTCTCCATGATGTCAAATATCAGTTTTGAATGAGTTACCTAATTAGAAGACAATTACAATTATGATGAAAATACAATTATGAGATGTTAAATGTGTGGATAAACAAAAAATAACTTTATAATTCCTAACACAAGGAATAGAACTAGCCAAACTGCCTAATAAAGTATGGCCTATTTTACATAAAAACCCTGAACATATGTAATCCTGATAACTGAAATGGATATTCTAATCTGTTAGTAAAAAAAAAAAGAAGTTAAGTAAAGATCGCTTTTCACGCCTTTAGGCGTATCGGGCATATGGGAAGAGCACCCATATTTTTACAGACCAACTAGTTGGGTAATGTGGTCAGCATTACACCGGCCGTCTTTACTTCCCCAGGACATACATCCTGGTACACATTTGAGGCTAGGTCGACCTGTGACGCCCCACACCATTATAAAAATCCATGCAGCCAGCAGTGGGTTTTGATCACAGTACATTGGAATTACGAGTTGAACTCGCAATGCCTAAGCCACGGACGCCGCTTCTAATCTGTTAATGATTGTTAAATAATATATTTTAAATGAAATTTTACACCAAAGGTAACAAACACTGAGACAGAGAGAGATGCTGGATGGGATCACTCACTAAAATTATAAAATATGTAACAGAGTAGACTGGAGTAACTGTATGGTGTAATGGTCAGTGAGCTTCCATGCACTGATCGGGATTCAAGGTCCACCAGAGGCAGACCAGGTCTGGAGGAAAAGCCCTGTCACTTAGACACAATTGAAGCAGAAATATAGGTCGCCTACACAAGTGATGGATAGATGGAATATCTGAAGCTGTAAAAAAAACAGCATTTATAGCATACACCAAGGACTGCGGCAGATGCTTTTTTCAAAATCTGACACTGAAAGGCAGAAAAGGATGGGGGGGGGGGGGGGGGGGGGGGAAGGACAGCTTTGGTTAATACATTTAAAATGAATGGGTACCAGGCAGACAATATTCAGAATTAATTTGGAGCAATGATAAAGAGGAAAGGAACTGGCCATTCCAGCTTTGTAAGCCCAGAATATGTGAAGGCCTAACAATTTACATCCAGTAATTCTGTGGAACTATCTTTTTAGCTACAATCATCATCATCATCATAATGATGTGACATACTGATAAGCAAAAGCTGTCATGTTTTGCTATCTCATTTGATCACCAGTCACAGATCAGATAGTTTCTTTCCCCACCCAATTTGTACGGCTAAGCTAAAGGTATTTATCTTGCCTTCCTTTAGCATGCTTTCCATCAATTTTGCCAGTCATTACCATACTAAAGTCCATTCCTTTTGATAACAGTCTGAAACAACACTATTTGTCTTCAACCGTAGTCATGTTTTATTTCCTGTGGTGTGTCGCACTGACCTGCTAGACAAAATAAAAGAACATGTAACTATGCATGAGTGCAGGGAAAAAACATGGTAGCCTACCACTAGAGAAAATCATCTGAAAAACTCTACTTGGCTGTACCTTAAAGTTGTAAATATTGGCAATCAGAAGTAATGTATTTTCCATCAGTTTTCCTGCTCCATAATCTGATTCAAGAAGTAAATCTGCAAATTTTCTGATCAACTTTTGTAGAACAAATGCTCCTGGGGGGAATAAAAATGAGTACAGATGAACTTTTTCATAGCACAAAAATGGACATTTACAAATAATATGCGACTAAGTTTACTTTCAGGGGAAAAACACAGCAGAAACTATAAGAGGCTACTAGCTACTTGAGACTACAGTGTATTTATTTCTGTGAGAAATAATGTCTACATAATAGCCTAAAAACCCAAGGCAACAAATGTAACAGTCATTAGAAAAAAAAACAGTGACTAAGAAATTTGTAATGGGTTTGACAAATCTGTAATAAAGATTATTTGGAAGTAAATGTGTAAATATAGATCACATTGGCCCACATTATCCCACCATATGCTGGCAAAAATGACATAATAATATATTGCTAGTACAAGTCTGACTTTGCGGAGCCTGCAGCATTTACTTTCAATTTACTTGTATTTAATATGCCTCCGGATATTCTGTTTCTGTAGAGCTGTGGAAGACTGCAGTTTATTATGTAATATTATCACTGTCCTTTAGTTCTGTGCACTGATGATGGCTTTCTACCTACAATGTTAGTTATGCCGTGTGCGATTGTGTTCTTTTAAAGCTGAAGAGTTCTACTTTCTGATACCTTATTTACTTTTAGCACAGGGTCTTCTTATTCTTCGTCAAGTCCATGCCATGTTGCATTAATCTTTATGTCTGTCCCCAGCATTCTGCCACTCATTTTTAATTTGATACAGAAGTTTAAGATAGGTTGCTTCAAGAAATTCCTGGAATAATCTACTCAGGTTTGAATTAGACATGAAGATGACAGTTTTATAAGTTAAAAATGACCTAGACAAAACGACATGGCAGAACGTGACTTTCACATTTATTCTCAGATAGAACTTACTAAGTAACTAAGAGGTAAACATTTTTTTTGTTGAGCAACACACAAATGTAAAATTTTGTGTTTTGCTTGAGAGGTAACTTATTTCTACCAAAAAAACAAATCTTCTTCTTCTTCAGCATTCCGAGCTCTTTAGTTTCATTGCCGCAGATATCACCGGCATCCATTCCTAGAACTTTTTGAAACTACCTCAGAGCAGCATATGCTAAAGCATTCAAATAAAAGATGAAAATGTGGAACCACTCACCCACTTCAGACCCCACATTACTGTGGAGGATTGCCACCAGCATGGCCAGTTCTTCTGCCAGTCTCTCAGGACAAAGCACTGGTGTCACAACTGCCTCCATAATGAGTCCAGTCAACGTTTCGTTGACGTCTGCTCTGCTGTTGTCTAAGTATAAAGCCTCTACCTGAGAACTGATTGCTTGAATGGTGCCCTCACTGACTCTGTGAACCAGATCATTATAATATAGGCAAAGTAATTAGACAGACAGAAAGGGTCTCAACAGCAATAACATATTTCAAATAACTCGATTATTCAGTTTTATTTTTTTCATTATTATTAGAACAAATATTATTCTCATATTTTTCCATGGTTTAATTCCTGCAATGAGCAGTTTAAAAAAATGCCATTCTCGTGGCTCACAGAGAGTGGTAGAGTCGCACAGTGAAAAAAGATAAGATGCTTACAACATAATATTTCCAGTTAGCAATGGATATCCTGCAATCAAGACTGCCTGCAGGATATCTACACACACAAAAGAGAACAATGGATATTCTGCAGGCAATCTTGATTGCGGAAATGGTCCAGTTAATTTTCAGTTGACAGCAGCATAGAAAAAGTGCTGATTTCTTTATCACAAAAATATATATATTCATATTTTTAGTAAGTCCAGCTTGGTATGTCTTGTTCAGATGTGAAAAGTTTTGCTTGGTAAATACAACCTTTTTTTGGAATACAACTTGCATGCTAGAACTTGTGAGCCTCATCCATGTTCAAGTAGGGAAAAGCAACAACAACAAAAAAGAAAGAAAGAAAGAAAGAAAGAAAGAAAGAAAGAAAGAAAGAAAGAAAGAAAGAAAGAAAGAAAGAAAGAAAGAAAGAAAGAAAGAAAGAAAGAAAGAAAAAAGGAAAAACCAGAATTTCAGATTTCTGACGTTTTACTGAAAAGAAGACACTCCTTCCAAACAATAACACTTCATTCTCCAATGTTAGCACCATCCTAGTAGGCACTCGACTCTTCTCAACAAGGTAAAGTGAGGTTACATTTTTATTTATTTTAACTCAGTGCTCTTGTATTTATGGATTAAACAGTTGTTTAAATTTGTTTCATACAACCCCCATCCTCAACAAGGTAAAGTGCGGTTATATTTTATTTATTTCATCTTACTGCTTTTGTATTTATGTATTTAAACAGTGTTTACAATTTTGTGTATACAACCCCATCCTCAACAAGGTAAAGTGAGGTTAAATTTTAATTTATTTCACCTCAGTGCTTTTTATTTAAGTATTAAACAGTGTTTAAATTATTATTTACAACTCCAGCAACATAATAAGAATAGCATTTTTCTTTATGGGAATGAACCAACCCTTCTCTCATTGTCGTATAGGGAAATTCGTCTGGTATGAGCCCAAGGCCTGGAACGAACTAGGGATATGTGCAGCGCTACAACTCTGTGTGTATGTGTATAAATAGAGACACTTACATAGAAAAAAAAGCTTATCTGTTCTGAAAATAAAACAAAAAAATTCATACTTGTTAACAAAGCCCTTGAGTCTTTTCTGCAGTGCTTCATTCGGGGCCCCTGCCATCATAGCTCTTTTCGCTGGAGGGACATATGCTCCTGCAGCACCTGGTTTTACCACATTGCCCTGAGCATCTCTCAGCCGGCCATAGATATCTTCTTTCAGTTCAGATTCCTCATCTCTTTTATGTTTTTTAGATACGCCCAACTCAGGCAGTTTGTCTTCTTGGATACAGTCATCATCGTCACTGACATCTTTTTCATCAGACATCACACCACTAGCTGATTCCTCAGATGCATCCACATCCTCTTCATCAGTATCATCAATATCCTTTTCATCTTCTTCAGCAGTATCATCATCTTCCTCATCAGAATCCTGGTTACCATTTTCATCATCAATGTCATCAACCTTGGCAAATTTCACTTTCTTGTCCTGTGCTTGGGGTTTCTTTGTCTTAACTTTAAGAATGGATTTTGTAGCTTTGGCTGATGGATCCCATACTAGACTTGAATCAGGTTCTTCCTCCTCAATATCTGAAGAGAAAAAAAAAGGATAATCATGCCATTATATTTTATCCGATACTAGATTTAATTTAATTGCCCAGCTTCGCTACGGATAGTGGGGAAAAAGTCTTATTCTCCAGTCCTCTATTTCACCTTGGTCTCCACCACTGCCCTGTATGTAAGCCAGTGAAAACAGGAGTAAAACTTAAAAAAAAAAAAAAAAACTTCTATATTAAACATCCTGTCTTCTACTTAATTTGACTCCACTGCTTCCACATCATTAGTCATTGCCCCTAAGTGTATCCATGTGTCTCTCTGTGGCAGATGGTACCATTCTCATCAGATGGCCAAACCATCCTCATCTGTTGCTCTTTAATAAACTGTATATCAGGTTTCACCTACCCGAGATACATTCGCCTAAGTCTGAATTTGTAAGATCAATTAAAACACAAAAGTGAGCACAAACAAGACAACATTGTGAATTTAAGAAAATGGTTTCCACATCATAAAACACATATTTCATAATCAAAGAAACTGTACCTGATTCATCATCTTGTCCCAAGAGTGCTTCTATGTCAGAATCAGTTTCAGAGTCTGAGCTGTCTTTGCTGTTCATGATGTCAGCAGTGACATCCTCAAATGTTTTAATTTTCTCAGAGTCAGTTGCTTCTAAGATGTCTGTTCAATGTGTGGTTAAGGTAAATCAAATGTTGACTTTAATAATAAAAAATAAAAAAATAAAAACAATGAGATAACAACAATAAAACAAGACTTTAACTGGCACGTAGGTGGATGTTAGATATGCACTAATACTCACAGACTAACCGTTTCTGCATAAACACAAAAGAGAAAACCGCATACGAAAATACAGTTCAAAAAGTTGCATACCCTCATGTGTTGCAAACCTGTCCCAGCTGCTGTGTGGTTTTACCAGGCAATTTATGTTTAATAGTTTGCCACTGCTTTCTGAAAGGAGTGATGCTCATATCATTGTAAAAATCAGATAAAGTGATTTGTTATCAAATTGTCTGCAGCCGATCTGAACTCTGGCATGTCAAGATTATGAAAATATGTTCAGGACCCTAATGTAAAAGTCGATTAATATACAACACAAACACCTCCCATGTCCTTATCCAAAAGTAAACCAAAATTCAAATGTATCTACACTGCTGCATGAACTAAAATGAAAAACTAGCAATGAATCCACATTACACTGGATGAACCAAAACAAAATTGGAGTAATTAGTAAAGTAAAGTAAAGATCCCTTTCCACGCCTTTAGGCGTATCGGGCATATAGGAAGAGCGCCCATATTTTTACAGACCATCAGCACTCGGTGGGTAATGTGGTCAGCATTACGCCGGCTGTCTTTACTTTCCCAGGACAGCCCATCCTGGTACCCATTTGAGGCTGGTTCGACCTGCGACGTCCCATACCACGATAAAAACCCACGCAGCCAATTGGAGTAATTAATATGCATAATTGCAAGGACAAAAACCAAAAAATTAAACAAGGAATATACATTACTGCATGTAACACAAAAACGTATAGGATTCTTTGTGTGCCAGTAGCACATCATATGATGTTACGCTTAGATTACAACAGACCAGTCAGCGCTCAGTGGGTGATGTGGTTAATATCACACAGACAGCCTTTATTTCCTAGTTAAGTTGTTCCTCTAAAATGTACATGTGCTCTCATATGACTTCGGGGCAGCGTTAGCGCAGTCAATAGGAGACTTGCTTTCAAATCCAGCTGCAACTCACTGCAGCCCACGTCCAGTGTTCGAAACCGGGCGGTTCCTGGCGTTCATCCAGCCCCTAGGAAATGGGTACCAGAGTTAACACTCTGGGGTGAATGGAGGAACGTCACTAGCTACTGAGTTATGTGTGAATGGCAACACAGGTGGACAATTTCTTATCAGCTGTCCGTACTGGTGGCAGAGCACTTATGGTTTATAAGTGTTCAATGACGCTGGTTCACAACTCCTGACTGTACTTTTTGTAAAAATATGACTTTAACCATGTCTGCCTTATATCATGCACCAAAATTGAACAAAGCTGTGCAGAGCTAGCCAATCTGTCCTCCTGTTCATTTTCCAACACACCGGAATGCTCTGGAGAAAAGATCCAGACAATGCTCTTCACCTGTGACCTTCAAAGCGAAGCATGCCACTCTGTCATCACCTTTCTCTGCATGCTTTCTGAGTCAGTTACAACCATGATGTGTGTGTGTATCGTGTTCTCTAGCCAGCGGAAAGCTGTAGTGATCTACTCCCTATGATATTATCTAGTACTAACATCAGGCTGTTCTGATCTGGAGGCCAAAGTCAATTTTGAAAAGATCCAACCAGATGCACATTCAAAGCTAAGACACATAGGCTAGTAGGCGAGCCTCAAACCACTCTGCTACTGCAACTCCCATTACTGCATGTATCAAACTAAACATACACCAATGATATCAGCGCTGAAAGGATACAGTCCAGCCCATCAGTGACAAATGAAGAAGGTATATTTGTTTTTCCTTTCTTTTTTCTAAACTTCAAATGCTTTTCTAATTGTTTTAACTCTTTTTCATCTCGCTGAATTGCAAGCCGCAGTCCTTCAACTCTGGAATTGTCCACCTGTAAATGAATAAAACTGAAGTGTTATATCTCAACCAAGACATGTGAACATCTTCACGAGGATAGAAATCGAGGAAATCTGCATAAAACAAGTGTGCTGCCACTTCACAGGGGAAGTATACTATTCATACAGCAAGGGAAAAATAAAGCAAAAGATAGAATTACCGGTATCAAGAACAGGCTCAAAGAAATAAAAATCAACTCATGCATGCATCAGAAAGAGCACACAGAACATGATATCTTCGCCTAACACTTCACAGAGGTGGAAGAGGAGGAGAAGAAGAAGTGTATTGTTATGAGATTCTCACTGGGTGATATTTGGGAACAGCACTAGAACAACTGCATTCAATCAAATGAAACCCAGTTACTCTATGTTTTGATACTTTCTTATGTCTTTTCTATACTGTCTCTCTAAATTCTTCTTCTATTTCTTTCATCCTGTTAATTCCTGAGCAAAGACTTTCTAGTTGCAATAAAATCAGACCCAGTTACCCTATGTTTTGCTATTTCCTTATGTATTTTCTATACCGTCTCTCTAAATTCTTCTTCTGTTTCCTTCATCCTGTTAACTCCTGAGCAAAGACTTTTCTTTTTACAATAAAATCAGATTGTCTTACTATGTGTGCTAACCAGTGACAGCATCATTTCTTTACCAACATATCCATTAGCATGATCAAATTTATGTCTAGGAATTTGTTGGGAATGGAGAAAAGAGATCTTATCTTGCACTTCAAGTTAAACTAAGCTTCTCTGGTTGTGTTATACCTGTGATAGTGCACCTTACTGTCCCCTGGGTGCCTGTCTTTGTTTTCTTGCCCCACATAATCACTAGACAGGTATTTCCCACTCTTCTTCAATATTCCATGCCTTTCAGGTTAATTGCTGCAGATACAACTATGTTATCTATTCATCTCTTTTCAGATGGAATTCCCAATGTTGGTGGGTCTGTCTGTAAATTATCTCTGCAATGTTTTCTTGATCTCCCCCGCGGTCTACTCCCATTCAACTCCTTTGTGTATGCAGCTTTTGGTCTCTCTGTTATCTGTCATTCTCCATAAGCCCCAAACAATTAGAGTCTAACAGCCCTCACGATGACAGTAATTAGTGGTCACTATGCAGGTATTTCTTCTCCGTCTTTTTCTTCATGTTCATCCACTTTTGTCATGTGGCTTTCCATTGGAGTTAACAGCAGGTGAACAATAAGATGAAGAAGCGACCATATCTGCTATGTCTTTATGAGACATGTAAAAATATTAAAAATATCTTACTAACAACATCTCTAGAATTAAAACTCACTGTTTTAAGAAACGATCACAAATTGTAATTTAAAAAAAAAAATTACTCACGGCTTTTTTCTCCTCTTTCTTTTCTACTTTCTTCTTGCTCTTTTTTAGCTTAAGTCTTTCTAATTTTTCTTGTTGACACTTGGCTTTGAAAGCCGTATCAACATTTTTCAGTGTTTTGATTACGTCCTGTAAAAGATAACAAAAATGAAAAGTAATGAATAAAACATGGAAGTTAACATGTAGAACACAACACAAAAATATACACTTGTACACAGAATATAATATAGAAACTCCAAAATATAGGACTTGAAATAGCTTTTATGACACAACAGTACATATAAATCACCATAATAAGTCAACCAAATGTTCTTTAAATTGCAGTTTTCATGGCAATAAAAAAACGATGGACAACAAAGGAAATTAAAATCATTACCAAAATAAAAATATGAAGCTCAACTGCCAAATTATTATGGTTGTATGTAGCTGACACATGGCAAGGAGCTGATACACTTACCGATAAACAACAAACATTCATTAACTGGTGCCTGAAATCAATAGTCTGCACACAAATAAGATGAATCAGTAAAATGGATGTGCATGCAAAACTAAAGTTCCTGAACAAGACTAAAGTCCAGAAAAGGGCAAACAACCCTACTTTTTCGCTGGACTCTAATGCTGGTGAATGCAAGAAGGTAACTGACCCTGTATTAATTAGCAGCAAGCAATTAGAAGGAAATAACAGTAACCACTTACAAATTTACGCTGAGCAAATGCATCTCTTCTGGCCTTTTTAAGCTTTCTTTCCTCTTTTCTCCTTTCTTTTCGACTGAGTGTCTTCGATGGTGGCATCTTTGTGCGAGAGTGTTTACCCATCTTCCTGAAGAAATCAATTAAAATTTTTTTTTTTTAAATGAAGTCATATTTGTGATGTTGAAAAAAAAACAACAACCGGATTTTGGCATCATTATTTCTTTATGCACACAAAGGCATTCCAGCTACAAGGTATTCTTTCACTTTATATAGTTTTCATGAGCATCATCAATTCATCATGTCTCTTGTTAGATGGCATGATCTATTATTTTAATAATTATTAATTTGTATTCTTATTATTTATGCCGACCTTCACTCACAGAATAATCTATTCCACTAAAGATACATTGCTTGAGCATTTTGAAACAATTAAACATTGTTGATGCTAGATATATTCTAAGATTTACTATTATTAGCTAACAAACAGATAACAAAGGACATAAAACAAAAGTTAATAAACATTGTCCTCGTACCACTGAAGTGCTGCTACATGAAAACACAAAATAATTCCAGTTCCCCTTGTGGGTTTGGGGGCCCCATTTTGACAGGTAAAATAAAAGAACAGAACAACTGCCCCCCTAACAAACATATAGTAAGAGTCTTCTAATGAGGAATGTTTAATTCAAAGGAGTGCATCAGCCTGAGAGGCGAGAAACCAACAGTCTGCAAACAAATAAGCTAGATCTGTAAAGTAGATGTGCACACAAGACTCGGGTTCTTCAACAAGACTTAGAGTCGGGAAGTGGATAAGCAACCAGTGCCTGAGTTTACAGCTGGTAAACACAAAGAGGAAAGAAGAAGAATCTATAGTGAAACACAAAGGAATTTATTTATTATGAATGCTACTCAATGAAAACACAGCTTATAAGTGAGTGAACCAATAAGCATGTTGTAGGATTTGACTAAGGGGGAACTTCATTTGAAGTTAGAGTGCATCTGACCAAGCATCTAGGAACAACCAAATGCACATAAATAAGCCAGTAAAATGGATGTACAACACAAAACCTAGGCCCTGGCACAAAGCTAAATGGACAAACAACCATGAATTCAAGCCTACAGCCAGTGAACAAAGAAGAGGTTTATTATTCTTTCATTAATATGCAGTCCAGACAATTCTCCAGCTTGTCTATGAATGTCTTCTGTAAGCTGAAAAGGCTTAACAATGCCACACACCCTTGACGTACTCCTCTTTTTATTTCTATTTGTGGTGAGATTATGCTATCATGCTTAACCGTTGCTATTTGTTCCCAGGTGGGTCATAAGTGATGGTATGCTTTGGCACAAGAAGTGACCTTCCAAGTCAATTATCCTCATAGACAAAAACAATTCTGTATTATTTTATCAGTAACTAGATTTAACTGCCCTGCTTCACCCAGGATAACAACATAAAGTTTTATTCTCTCGTCCTCTACTTCATCTTGGTCTCCACCACTGTCGTATGTGTGGTAAAAACTCCACAGGAGCGAACAGAATGTTGGCCTTCCATCTTCAATTTCCTCTTAGATGCCCTCATTTCCTCAACCCACTAATGTGCCATTTCAGTGCAAGTTTTTTTATTCTCTGTGCGTATCTCAGAATTTCCTGTAGAAAAATTTTTTTTGGCTATCCTCCGACTAACGGTTGGCAAAGATGGCGGCTGCAAAATATCCTTTCGCGGCACAGTCGCTTGACTTAATTTGCAGTTCTCCTGCGGTTTTCTGGCGAATATCTCCACTGCCACGTGTCCCCCAAACCTCACCCGTGGCGTGGAATGGGGCTAAACTAGATGGCTAGGACCCACGAGCAGCAGCCGCGGTGTGCTCGTGACCGCTAGTGCGCAAATGACAAGCGACTGTGGCTCGAAAGGATATTTTGCGGCCGCCATCTTTGCCGACCGTTCGTCTGAGGATAGCCAAATTTTTTTACAGGGTGTGGCAGCTGGCCCTGAGATGGAGTGGTAGGGACCTCTTAGACCAGGTCTTCCCATAGTTAGCACTACCACCAACTTAGCGCAGTGACTTGAGCCATGACTCTGGGTTATAATTTGCCACAAATTTACAGCTACAAATCTGACAGATAAAGCAACCACTTACTTTATGCACTTTTCTTACCATCTACGTTTCAAGGAAAATGTAAACTTGAAACAAAAATTAATATAAGGAATGTAATAGTTAAAAAAATTTTTTCAGATATAACTCCACTGAAAGTTTACTTTTACTGACTGTTGCAATAAATAAAGGAAATGCACACAAACCTAGCAGCCAGTGTCACTGTTAAATTAAACATTATAGCTTTAATGGTAATTTAAAATTTAACCAGTGTGTGGTCATGGTTTTGGAGATGTTAACATCTGAATTAAAAAAATCCCACAAAATACAGAAATGATTTGTGATTTACAGCATAGATATGGACAATTTTTCCAGTCAAGATGGCGTGACAAGTGGGTGTTTATTTTTGGCCAGCATCTAAATGGATTTAAGACATTCTAGAGTGGAAGTTGTGCTATACTAGCCTGAATGTGATAGTGTAGTTCAAGTGTGACCATCCTAGGAAGTTTGAAAACACTATGATTAGTCCAGAAAACCGATAGTTGTTTATTTAGTCCTTGTAGAAAAATGAAAAAAATCTCTTAAAGTGACTAGAATGAAAGGGACAGTCCCTGATGACGATGCGACTGTGAGGCATTCCAGGAGTAGAGAAAAGAAGATGGACAATTTTTATCTGTGACATATTTTATTCCAGTTTTTTTTAAAAAATTATTTTATAAAGCCAATTTTCAAGTTTTACTTTAGTTAACTTAGAATAGAGAAACTTTCAGTTTAAATTTAATTTTCAATAATTAATTAGCGGTCATTTTGAAATTTAATTTGGGCAAAGGCAATATATTTAACACCACAGTACAGCTTATTGATTGTATCATTACCTTATAAAGCTGCCGCCCCATAACCCTTTCTACACAACTGCACTAGCTGATGGATTATATCATTCATATTAATAAGTTGAGTTATTGAGTTATGATTATGGTAACTGTTGGCCTTTTTGAATAAAAAATAGCCAATATTTCATAACTTCTTCTTCTTGTGTTTGCTTTCTGATTTGCACTGACAGACAAGTTCTTGTGATAAGCTAGACAGTTTATAGGAGTTCCCTTTTAGTTCCAGTCAACTCTGAGGGCCATGTTGACTCACTGAGCCAGTATTCGCTTCTTAATGGGCTGTACGAGGGACATTCTTGCAGGACATGTTCTGTTGTCTGCACACACAGCCCACAAGGGCAGAATGGTGAACTACTTAGACGAAGCCTGTGCATATGCTTGTTAAGTTTGTTATTATGTCTGTCCTGAGGTGTAGAATAATGACCCGTCCATGCCAGGCAAGTACGAGGTAGTCATATCTGGCCAGGCTCTGTTCACTTCTGACAGATGGCCCTTTTCATTTCACAGTATGTTACTGAATTCTCTTCTTACTCATTTTATGTCCATTTCTTAGCAAGTTTATTTATGGTTTAATTTCCTGGTACACCACAGTAGGATAGTACCTACTGGGGTATAGTACACTTTTAGGCAGCCACCTTGCCAACCAAGTTCAGATCTCAGGTGGAGTTACCACTCCTGAGGGCTTAGAGCACTAAGAACCGCGTTAGCGCAGTCGACAGGAGGCTCGATTTCAAATCCAACTGCGACTCGCTGCAGCCACGGTCGGTGTTCCGGCGGTTCCCGGGGTTCACCCAACCTCTAGGAAATGGGTACCAGAGTGACACTTTGGGATAAATGGAGGAACATCGCTGTAGCTACAGAGTTACGTGTGGACAGCGACACAGGTGGACAATTTCTTATCAGCTGTCTGTAATGGTGGCAAAAGCAATTATGGTTTATAACCATGTGCAATGAAACTGGTTCACATCCGCGACTTTATTTTACTTTAGGGCTTAGAGCACATCTGTGAAGATGACCACTTGGTAGTATTCTCAATTGGTGTTGCGTAACATTTTGGCAGGCTGCTCGTGCTAGGATCTCTGTTGTGTAGTTGGAACAGAATTTGCCAGAGTGGGTATATACTTTGTGTGGTGGTGATTGTCTGGGGTATGTGATCAAGATGCCAGCACTTCCATTTTTAACCGCACTGTTTGCTGATCCATCTGGGTTAAGCATGTATCAAAGACTGTTTGTGACAGTTTTTCCGGATCATGCTAACAGCAGCTGTTCATTTTAAAAAACTTACAACTTGACTGTTATCCAGTTAATCCTTGTTGCTCATTCCCAAAAATATAGAGTTTCTAAAAGTTTTGTTCAGCACTTAAGTTGATAAGTCACAACAGTTTAAAACAAACAGTTTAAACACTTCTCATGACAAAGACTCATTTCTAAGTAGCAAGATTAAACTGCCGTTAACTGTTCCACAAACAGTGTTGTTGCACTTCAATTCTGAGGATACCAAGGTGTCCATGACACGAAGGTGATGGCTATTAAATCTAGTTCCTCCAGCGACAGAGTCCGTAAGTCTCTTGAAAACCACCTTAGTTTACCCTTGCACCTATGATCTCGGGGAATTATGTCTTAATTGTCAACACAGTTTCAGCTAATATCCAGGAGTCCCAGTCCTTAGCCATTTTTGGCCTGTCAGTCTAATAATATAGTACTTGAAGTACTTCTTTTCCTTTTTGACTTTTTTTGTTCAGTTCACCAGCTGTACTGTAAGCTCCAGCAGAAAGCCTTGGTTGTTCCTCCATTTAAACTTTGGCTTTGTGCCAGGTCTTGATTCAGTTTTGCGTGTACATCCATCTTACTGGCTTGTTTCAATGTCTGAATTTGCGAGCAGTTGGTTGACTCTTGCCGCTCGGACAGACGCACTACGACTGCGAAGGATAACCCCACATGATTCAGTCGCCTGCACATGTTTGTTGGGGAGGCAATGGGTCTTATACTTACTAATATTATTGTCTTTACCACAATCATGGGGCCCCGGAACCCCACAGGGGGATCTAATAGTAGGTATTTTAGTCAAAATTAAAAAATTGGGTTTTTTACTTTTAAACCAAGACAGCTGAATAGAGGTTGAAAACCCGAGTCCAACGGTACCTAAATG